AGCTTTGACACTTGCTTGGGAAGATTACGAGAGAGAGAAATGGGAAGCAGTCGCAAAAGGCATGATGAAGCATGGAGTCCAAGAAAAATGGAGTAAAGAAGCCGTCCAGAGAAAGTTCAACGAAATGTTCCCTCCCGACGATCGATCATACAACAACACGGAGTATGCATTATCCAAACATGCGGAACAACTGAACTACGACATCAAGATGGAACCACGAACGCCGTGGCCAAATCACGATGAAAGAGACAGCGCAATACACAGTCTCACAGACGAAGAGCAAACCTTAGTAGGCGAGTTGAGGAGTAGGACTGCAAGTGATGCCAGTTCACTGCATTACCAGCAGCAACAGCATCAACAAATCATGTATGCGCAACAGCATCAGCAGCAGCATCAAGAGATATGGGCAGGAAATTGAGCAGGGACTGATGAAGTACAGGATTCTGGGGCGATAGATATTGGTAATCGTTTTGAATTTTTCTACAGTATATGGAATTCTGGTTTCTACGAAGTTTAGGTATAATGAGCAATCGTTCTGCGGAACCATTAGACTGCACGAAATCTTGTGTAGAAGGAAAGTAAAACTGGGTTTACAGGCAGGCCATCAATAGAGACAAGTCTCGGGGCGGCAAACATCTGGCATCATTGTCATGGATATTCTATTTTCCTAGAGCAATCCACATATATTCATTGTACAAATTAATAGAATAGTCTTGAAGAAGCAGCGCAGTCCTTCACTGGCAATACATATCTACCATCCAACTTTCACCAACCAAGTTTTCCAATTTTCTAGTAGTTTGTGGTGCGTGAGCGGCGCGGCAAAGTCCAAGGTTGACACCTTTCTACTATTTCCACTTGCAACAAACAAGGCATATCGACAAAACACTCTGCACCACGAATGTAAGAATTTGGCATACTCAGCAAACCCACAAATCAAGTGACCTCTCAATCATGCGGACCAGGATATCTATGCATTCACACGAATTAAATATCGTGGACCTTCCTTGTAAGGCTGTAAACCAACTGTTTCCTTGACCAATGCGAGTCATACCCGAGTCATACCGGCAGGGGATTGATAAACCACTGAGCCGTAGATACGTTTTGACTCGAATTCCAGGATGTGACGGCCAACTTTTTTCGCCATCAAGATAAATTGTATCTGGGGTTTAGAATAGGTAGCACGTTTCCTGAGAGTCTGAGACCCGGGGGCCTTCAAAAGGATGGCTGAACGCAAAAACTTTTTCGGTTGCGCTGGGCCAAGTACACATGGTCTGCTGGGTTTAAATTCGTATTGGAAATATGGTTCTGACCTGTCTGTGCCTCTTTGAAATTACGGTCTGTGATGGTTAATTGATTGACGATGTAACAATGAAAGTGCATAATGGAAATTTCCCAGGAAGTTTCCGGGAATACTGACTATTCGTATCTTCCTACTATTCCAGAAATAAACCTACTAGCTCCTCATTCTAGTGGCGCAGACTGTGCCAGGACGATTTAAAAACAAAATCTCGGAGTTTTGAAATATGTGATATTCACAGCCCTGTATATAACTTTTTGTGGTTAGGTAGTTGATACGCGGAGACTGATCTCGTCGGTTTCGTATGATTGCTTGGCCCTGCGATGCACTTTTGAATTTCAGTGACTTCGGTCTTTCTCTTCCTCGAACATATTAAACGGGCTTGTTTATCGGAATGTCTTCATGAAATTACCCTGGAAAGCGAATGCAAGTTCACTAAGTAAACGATACTATCGGATCGATAAATGCTCATTTTGCATGATGTGATCGACTTGTTTTCATCCCATTTAGATTCCCACTTGCACCTTCTAGCCTTGAGACCCCAGATCACATCCAATGAAAAGCAAAATGCAAATCTTGGGTGTGTAACGTATGCTGCAGTACAACCTTCTCCTATTCTATCATTTCTTCCTGCGATCATCTCGTCGGTGAGTTCATCCTTTTCAGCTTCATATCCTCTGCATGAGAGATATACAACATCTTCTGAAGATACCCATCCATTCCAACACCCAAACTCTCGTCACCAACTTGAAGGAGTCGTTAAGAACAAAAGTCCTCAAGCTTCATGAAGAAAAACCGTTGGAGCCAAGAAATTCAGCCACCAAAGTTCTCACCATCTTCCATCCTTACGACCCCTAACCTAGAACCACTCACTGCCACTCCCAACACATTCAACAATAAGCGGCGGAGAAAGTGGGCTGAGAAACACCATGGATTGTGCTTATGCTCTTTCGCCTGCTTAATATCCACGCTGCGGCGTTGACAGATTACAACCGTTAGTTCAACAGGGGTGCACAAACAAGGCAGAGCGGACGGCAGAAGCTCATAGATTAATGATTAAATTAATGATTATGAGTGGTGCGCCTGACATGGCTCATCGATTAGCCTAGAGTTGTAAGCTTGTATGAATTCTTGTTGCTCAATTTATGGTAAATGGAGCTTCGGGCAGCAGGCGATAAGTTATTATGAAGGGGTGGAGGTGAGTGAAGAAATTAGTTTCGGTAGTAGGATCAAGTGCGCAGGGGCGTCGATTAGGAGGAGAATTGGTCGTTGTTGAGACAATACGTATGAGTTTTGTGGTATGATAGGTCAGTTCTACACATTGTAATGTTAACTTGACTAGGGAAGATATACCCAGGTGTTTTTACCTTGTCTCATCAAATCTAGGTAAATCAACAAAGCGGATGGATATATTCGGCCAAATTTCAAACGATTGATTGCAATCAGATATCTTCTCATAGAGTGTGAACAAGCCATAATCTCGCAATCGTGTCTAGCGGCGACTATTCTTTCTCCTTTAGCACCAACTGCATTGTATTGCCCTACCCCGCCCCCAGAATTTCCTAAACGGTAGTTTCTGATCCGAGATTAAACTTGGCTTAACGAAGCTTAAATTTAAAAAGAATGTTGTGCAACAACTCTATGCGAGTGTGGAACAAGCACAAGTTCATCTCGGGTCCTCGGGCGCCACATAAACATTGTACCGAAGGTATACCCAAGCGTAACTCTAGCCCCTGATATGAAGAACCACTCTCCAAACTCAAGGATGGTCATCCAAGCAATCAAAGCCTTTAATCTAACTGATCAAGTGTGGATGTACAATTATTCGAACTTTTCCCTTTGTAGTAAAGTGGACATCATTCACTCTTGTATGACAGCAATCCAATGGCCACCATACCACGAACAATGTAAATAAGTCTTGTCCTAGCTGCATAAAATAAGCACCTATTATCTCTTATATTTAGAAGACACAGTGGGGGAATGGCCATGTAGTGCAAATATACTTCACGCGCAGAAGAGAGATTCTTCCGCGACCTCTCACTCCTTGCAACGGTGAACTGGTGATGCTCACTTTTTGAAATACGGACGGAGACAGATCCGATCAGACGCTAACATGAAGTTAAATACACAACAATGTTCTAACTGAATGTAAACATTTCTGATAGGGGCTAACCAGTACTGACATTTAGCTAACTTCACGGAATGTGCGTGCTGTCGGGAGATAGGCACTTGACAGTGATTTTGGGGCTTGAGACATACAGAAAGCTTGCAATGGAATTGAAACTTTAGGGACGAATCAGCGGTACTGATTGGAGCTTGGATGGGCTTCTGTCCAATGCGTGATGATGTTTGGGTCACAAGTGAGTAGTACTGCATGACAAGAATATGGATATGGCAACATCTGACCCCGAAGATAGCCCACACTATTTGGTGTTTATCATATTCGTGATATTTACTTCTTTCACGACCAGCACTCGCTGTACTACCATGTTTCTCGCTCGTCTTCAATTATATGGTCTATTATTATGTTTACTATTTTCACGTATACCTCTACAAGATAAAGAGACCATTTCCCAAAATTCGACGCATGCGCCTCCCTTCTACAGCTCTACAGCCGTCTAAAACATGACTTGAGCGTAATTTCTCTGTGCTAAAAGCTTAATCTACGCAATCTGCTAGAATGCGCTTGCGGTGATTTCACATAATGAGTACTGTCCATAGACAGAATTGAGAGGGAACCGAAAAAGAGCGGATGGAATATGTATTTCGAGAATTGAAATTCATACAAATTGGTGATCAGATGATACCTAACTTCAATGGCAATTCTCTCGAACCACAAACGGCCTTGAAGCTACAGAACATACACCCGATTTTATTCATTGCATTCTTACTGTGCACACATATCCCTATCTATCTCCAAAGCCAACAGATACCCGTCCCATAACTCATAAATCTCATCTCATCTCATCACACAAACATTATCTCACGATACTTCTTCCCAAACAACTAACTAGATACCTACCCAACCCATAAACTCGACCCGCAAATCTCCCCCATCTCCATCTCAAGCTTGCGTAACCACAAATACCTACCTAGGTACAAAGGTACCTACCTACCTTACATACCCCATGTATCCCCCTAAACAAGCGAACCAAGTCACACAACATCATCCTCATCCTCATCATCAGCATCGGTATCGGTATCGGTACCACAATAATCCGCATCCGCACCCACAGGCATGAAAAAGCCAACCATCTATCCGATTCTCTAGACATTTCCGGAGAAATATGCATGTCACAATGGATTTTCCAGAAATGTACATACCACGATATAAATACCGTATAAATAATGTGTGCTCCTGTCTATACGCATTGTGTGTGCAGTATCATGAGAGATGTCCTGTTAGAATATGGGGTGTTGAGATAATGGTATGGTATGGTATGATGGTGTGATTGAATGCAATGTACGAATTGATAAATGGTATATGATCATGACGAGAAACCAAAACAGAAGGAAAATAGTGCAAATAACGGGTTGTGGGTAGATGGATTGAATCTTATACTTGATTTAATTGTCATACAGAGGAATAGTTGAATTGTTTTTCAGAAAACGCATCAAAGAGTATGTGTGCATGTTTTACTTAAAAGAATACCTCAAGCAAGCAACAGATCCCCTCAAAGGACTTTCACAAAACTCGATCGCACTATTCAGCTTCACTCCCACTAACTTCCGGTTCACTCTCACCTCCCCCGCCTTCATGAACCATCCCACTTAACCCCCGCGTCTCCCCCAATAACGGTGCTCTTTCTCCTTCTTTTCTCAAAAAGTGACCTCCTAAACTAATTCCCATCACACTCAATCCATGTACCATTGTACTTCCGAACACCACGAAACATATCACGGGCCATATAATCCAAATGGCCTTTGTTTCCTCGCTGATGGGGCCTGGCTCGTCGGGGAATATTGGCCTAGGAAGAGGTAGTGATGTACCAGTTTCGAGTTGTGCCCTTGCTTCTATAGCAAGGAATAAAGCGCCTACGCCCATAGGTCCAAAATGACCTGCAAAGAGCGCTTCGCGATAAGTGCAGATATCTGGAATAAAAGGTTTGGTCAAGAGAAGGATTGGAATTCTGCGGAAGAGAAGAACAAGAATGAGGAAAAGGATGAGGGTCCAAGGTTTGATATGGGGTGTAATGGTTGTTGGTTGGAACTGATTCCACGGAATAATGGAGCCAAAGTATGCGAACATAGTAGAATTCAGTAGATGATCGACGATTACTGGAAAAGCCACGGTCTTGGTCTTTTTGGAAAACCATCCATCGTGGGCGAAACCGACTCCAGCACCAAAAGCGACTAGGAAAATCATCCGAACCCAGAATAGATCCAATGCCAATAGAAAGCATGGCAAGAAGAAGGTAGAATACCACAAAACAAGGTCTAGATATGTATTCGCGAGTATCTGAGAATCGAAGAAGTCGATTTGCTATGTTTCCAAGTATGAGGCCTGCTACGATGCCAAGTAGACATTGCCAGAGCAGTGTGATTGTTACCCATTCCTTGATAGCTTCTCCAGGACCTCCATGAGTAGTGAAGATCACAAGACCGATATAAAGAAATGGAAAAGAGACTCCATCATTGCATGCTGACTCGGCTGAAAGAAGATGACGAATACGTGGAGGAACTCTTTCGCTGAATTGAGATTTGGAAAGGACGGATGCAGCGAGAATAGGATCAGTTGGTGAGAGGCAAGCTCCTATTATCAAAGCTGTGGGTACAGTGGTCTGAAAAATGAAGTAGGCGAATAAAGAAGTGATGGCCCAGGAAAATGACATGACTGGACCTAGGAGATAGAGAACCGATTTCCAATGTCTTTTGAAATAATGCTTGGGAAGTTCTAACCCTACAGCAAAACATTGAATGCCTACGATCACACGAGTGATTTCCTGCATGATTTCATCGTCAAAGCCCCATTCTTCTGGGGTAAGTACTTGAGAACATATGGTCCAAGGATGATACCAAAGAGAATGGCGAGAGGAGGCTCTGAGAGATGCAGATGGTTGCGGATAAAATTTGAGAAGAGGGCATAAGTGATGAGAAAAAGTGGAAGGACAAAATATGTTATATGGGGAGCAGTTGGTTCCAATTGATCCCACATCTTGAGGTGCAACTTTACAATTTCTGTGACTGTTCTATGGATGTAACGACAAGGTCGGATGACATGAATTGCGTGGGAGGGGGACTTGATCGTACAACAATGGTCAAATCTCAAGCTTTATCGAAACATGGAAAACAAACAAAGCAGTCATCATAAAAGTCAAAATAAACGTTTCGAATCTTGGCAAAACAGCTCCTTAATTCGTCGCCCCCCAAAGCTAGGGCGAAGGGACTTGATAGTGACGTAGAGATCACGTGCGAGGTTACCCCGATCTAGAATGGAACATGCATGTGACTTCAGAAAGCGAAGGAGAGGAACAATTGAGGAGAATTGGGAAGGATTGGTACACCAAACGCTTGTTGGAGAATGAGAGAAGGTGGATTTTCTGCTTTGGAAACAACTAAAAGAAATTCAATCTCCTATTCTTGAAGAAAGAGAGGCAGAATTGAATGCAAACTGGACTAAGGTTAATCTGAAAATGGCTTTGCTGAAATAGCTAGAGAGCTTTGGCAATGAATGCCGAATGAACAATTCAAACTTCGTGACAACACGGCCGCAATAAATAAAGATTGAGAATCAGTGAGTGATGAGATGAGATGAGATAAGATAAGATGAAAGTCTAGTGCGAAGAGGAGCAAAGCTTGAACAAAACAAGAAAATACAAGAACGAATGACTAACAAATGTGAGATGAAGAGAAAGAACAAAAGTGAATGAATAGGGGTAGAATTAGATCAAGGAGGAGATCAATTCATCGTGTGTTACAAGATGTAAGAAAGAGACAGTGCAGGTTCACATAAGGTCCTCTCAACAACCCAAAAAAAAGATTAGAGAAGCAAAATGATAATCAACATACAACAGTGGGGATTCGCTGGTGGTCACCCACCCAACTACTAATCCACCGATCTGAAGCTTGTTGTATGGCAGAGCGGACGGGATGCCCAATTCTCTTCAGTCTATGGTCGTATGTGACAAAGAGGGCTCAATCTATCAATATATTGAGCAAACTATTTCTACCCCAACCACTAGACAACAACTACAATCTTTCCCGCCGCCTCCATCTCCATAACCCTATGCGCCTCCCCAATCTCCCACAACCCTCAAAAACTCTAATCGGGATTCTAATTTTCCCATCTCGAACTAATCCCGCCGCCCTATCCAAAGGCGTGTCCAAAAATCTATCCACACTGCTCGCATACGATGTGAAATAACCCGCCCCCACCGCAAAAGGATTCCAATTTTCCAAGATCCATTTACCGCCACAAATACCCGCTTGACATATTATACCCCCCGCTTTCAACAGCTTGAAAGAATCATCAAGGGTGATCGGACCTACTAGTTCGAGGATTTTGTCGAAGCGGGTATTTGTGGTGGGAGATATGAGACCGCATGCTGGATCGATGAGAACGCGATGAGCACCTGTATCGAGAAGAAGTTGGGTGCGAGATGGTTGTCGTGTGGTGGATGTGACGATTGCGCCGTGGTGGGATGCTAGTGCTGCGGCTGCGAGACCGATCGAGGAAGTTCCGCCACGGATGAGGAGAGAGTCGTCTTTCTTGAGTTTGAGGGAGGAGAAGAGAGAGCCCCACTGTTGGGATGTGGTTAGTATCATGAATAGGTACCATAGACGTATGAGTGTATGAATAAGGAAAGACAAAAAGGAGGTCACATGAAAAGAGATGACTCACAGAAGTCTGAATCATCTCTGGCAATGCACCCCAAATATCCCATCCCAACTCCTCCAACCCCGTTTCAACTCCAATCCTCACAACTTGTCCCCTGGGCACAACACAAAACTCCGCATAACCACCATCAAAAGCACGGCCCATTCCACCCACACATGTAGCTACTTTATCGCCAACCTTCAATCCATCTTTCCCTGCACCATCCTCCTCCACAACAGCAGCAACAGTGCCAACACATTCAATGCCCAAGACTCGAGGGAGGGGAACCTCCCGGATAGGTGAGTGACCCTGTCTTGTAAAAACTTCTGAGCGATTAAGACCGAACGCCCGAACTTTTATCAATACTTGGCCAGGTTGGGAGGTGGGAGTGGGAATCGTTTCGATTTGGAGAGAGGAGGGAGGACCGGGATTGCGGAGCATGATGGCACGCATGGTTTTGGGAATGGCGGTGGGCATCTTGATGTGGTGGTATGATGTGAGGAGTTGTATAATAAGATGATTTCTGTGACGCGAAGTAGAGTGGAGATACTAAGATGGATACTCGATGAGTGTCAGTATCAAAGGGGTATTGCAACTTTAAATGATAAGAGATATGTCCAGATACTCAGCTCAAGTCCATGGATATATCATTTGGTGAGCATGTTACATTTCTTGTGGCATCATAACTCCATGGAGTTAATGGATTTAGCCAGAAATTTTCTCCTATTAGATTATGTGTGGGAAACGAAATCAATTATTGGAAGTGCCAGTGACTATTGGCAATTAGATGGGATACAGGAGAAGAGAGTCAGATTTAATGTTGACTAGAGAAAGTGTGATGCTTCTACGGGATATAATAGGACTATTTACTGTCTGGTGACGATTGAATTTTAAAGAGATCAGTTTCGAACTACGCGAGTCATCTTTCAGTGAAACAAAGAATCAACAGTTCAAGGATATAATAGAAGCTCAAATGTGAAAAAAAACTGCAATTTTTAATATTGGCCTCAATGGTATTTTTAACATCTTAGGAAAATTCCTTTTCTGTGCTCACTCTCCCTTACTTCAAACATAACCTGACATCCAACAAAAAGTGCACCCCAGGCCGTAATTAGAAAAACGATTCCTATTGTTTGGATTAGTTGAATGCCCCTTGTCAATATTTGAGTAGAACGTACCTGAAAAGTCCTTGAAAATGCCAGAAATAATGCTCTTCAACCCATCAACACCGACAGCAAACCCAACCAAGTTTGCTATCATCATGAACATCAAATTCGCCACTGCACCAATACCACAAATGACTCTGTAATACGTAAGATCATTGAGCCACTTCTTTCTTGGGAAGAGCATGCCAGCAATAACTTCCGGTAACATGAAGAAAACTATGAGCCAGCCCCACACCAACAGGTTAAGACTTATATCATGCCATAATGCTACAAATGTGAAAACGACGAGATAATTGACAATTGATCGGACTTGGGCTTTCCAATTTCGTGATGAAGAACCTCCCATAGGGATGTAGATGTAGCGGATGATCCAGCGGTTGTAGCTGCGATGCCAACTTCGCCAGAATTGAACAGTAGATGGGTTATCGGAAAGACAGCGAAGCATGTTTTCCGGAGGGTCAATTCCATCAATGAGAGACCAAAGTCTGAAGAATCTCCAAGGTAAGAGAAGCTTCAACCATAGTACATGGAGATTGAAGTATGAGAGTAAACTCAGTTGAGCTGGGGTGTAATCAGACCAGTTGGGATTGCCTTTGGAAATAGCCACACAATAATCGAAATGTAGGAGAAGTTCGATTGCCAACAAACAAAGTAGGAAACGAATACCATACTTAAAGGTTCGTTTACTGTCTATGCTAGCAGGGCGATATTTCGACTGAGAAATGTAATCGTTAAATGTGAAAATTGGTCCTGCTAAATATAAAGGGGCATAAATCGCATATGCGAAGTAGTTTCGATAATTGTAGTCCTTGTCCGGCGCAGGCATCGCAACGCGATCTCTCTCGGAAAGATTGGCAGGGTCAAGTTGCTTCTTCTTTTGCGCATTAGTATTAGATGAGAGCATACGGACGGCACTTTGATGATAACCTACCTCTAGTGCACTTCCAGCTCCTTTCTCTAAACTCCAGTAATAATCCAGATTGAAACTGATCAATCTCAAGACAGTAAGATTAAACAGAATCTCCCATCGTGGAATAATGCCCGAATAACTATCCATCCACTCTGCCCAGCTATGTAACATAGCCCCTTGTTGGAAACCGGCTTCATTCTTGGGAGACACATATTGTGCTATTGATGTATATCTGTACCCATCTGAGAGCTCGTTGGCAAACAATATACCGATATTGAAAACCCATGTTGCTACAGGCACAAACTTTCGAGGAAGTCGAGTCGCCAGACAGTAGTTTGCATAGACTATCACAATGACTTTAAAGGCGGAAAATCCATGCAAAGCGAGGAGGTATATGAAAGCAAAAATGAAGTCGAACCCGGTACGTTGTTGAAGTCTCGCATTGCCTTCCGCCACAGATATGTATGTGTTATTGCCGTTTAGTTTCGGCGATCCTACTCGAGCAGAGATGGGTCTGAGAAATTCATATATCCGTCGAAGGAGAGGATGAAAAACGACGAGAATCGCGAGATATGGTACGTTGGTTCGAAAGTTATAATATTGTGCATCCGAAATATCCTACGTTCAATTAGCATTTGCCATAGCTAACTTTTTCGAATAACCCATACAATCTTGCGCCCGGGAATCCATCCATCAGAAAGAAGGTGCTGGTATTTATGGTAATTAGGATCGGAAGCTGGACAACAGTCAGATTTATCTTTGCTAGAGAAGCAAGTCATATACTAACGTCTAGACACATCATAGGCGATCCAAAACATGTATGGCACAACCGTTAAGAAGATGAAGTAATAGAAATAAAACTCTCTGGTATTCCATCTCGACGGCTGGGCAATTGGTCTGCCATTGCTGTCTGTTCGTACCCCTTCGCCTGGTTTCGAGTCATCTCGTTTCGACTTTGCTGCAGCAGGATCAATTTCATATGGAGTTGAAGAAGAATTCGTGAAGCGTGTATCGATGGTATCTAGAGCATAAATGCTCCGCACATATGAGAAAATACTCATTGCTCAATCATATCATGGAATCGAGAGTTCTGCAGCGGCAAAGAACGAGATATAGACAAGGCGTAAAGGCTATGTGGGAGAGTGTATAGAAGTTGGAATTTATACAAGAAAGTAAAGAGAGACTGAGAATATATCAACAATTCATAACATGAATTGCAATCCTGATTAGGGGTTCAGTTCAAATTGCGGGGGGTTCCTGATGGATTCAGCCAGATATGGAATTATTAGTTTCTACCTACGAACTCGTATCGAGCATTTATTTTGATATTTTTGGCTTTCCTCGGCCCCTCTGGTGATCCCATGCCATGTTGGTGGTAATTGACGGATCACGGAAGGTCGGTGCTTAAAGTAACGCGTTTCTCTAGCGTATCAGGAACCCTGAATTTCCAAAATGGGGGCGACTACAGTCACGTGGACATTATCAATTCAGCTTAGTAAGCATGGTTCAGTTGTCGCACCAATAAACGATTGTAAACTGTCACATTGTGCATAGGCAGTTCTCAAGACAGCGCCAATAACGTTTCTGGTATTTGGTTTCCAAGTTGGCTCGATTGAACACGACGTCAATCACACCTATCATATTGTATATACAGCCAGGTGAGTACAGGTTGTCATAGGTTATCGATGGCCAAAGACCCTTACTTGACTGAGAATGCAGCTTTGACTCCATTTCGACTGGATTTGGTCATGACATACTCCTCGACATACTCTAAGCAATCATCCCGATTATGGATGGTCTTTAACTCTTGCACCATCCTGACCAAGAAGTACACCATATCAGTGTATGCGTTTTGCTGGGCCGGGCATGTGCGACGCCCCCCGGAAAATGGAATAAATTTCCAACTGTGTTTAAGTCGAACCATCCTGTCCGGGTTGAATTCTGATGCATCATCACCCCAGATATCTTTGTCTTTATGCATACAACCATATATTAACTCGATTTGGTCGCCTGGTTGTGGTAAAATAGGGTCGTTCCCCGACTTCCCACCACCACGTGGGAGGATACAAGTGGATAAACATGTTCTCCAAGCTCGATCGACAGGATGAATTAGTCGAAGTGCTATGCATGTGTTAGCTGATATCTCAATATCTATTTTGGAATACCATATCAACTTACTTTCGTCATCACAGCTTGCACATATTTCAAGGATTTGAGAAACTCAAAAGTCAATTCTTGCTCAGGTGCGATAGCGGCAACTTCTTCTCTCAATTTCCCCCAACTTTCAGGACTTCTAGCGAGGAGAAATAGCATGCTAGAAGTGACCGTTCCTACTGAATCTCTAGCTGCAAAAAAGACGTTCATGAGTTCATTTCGAATGAGAGTCTTGTCGTCCGGATACTTTTTAACAAGCTCTTTGAGGAGAACGTGTTGGTATCCCGATGAGCCATTCATATGCTTATTCGATGTACCTGGTAACTTTGACTGCTTTTGGAACTTGATCTCTTCGTCAATATAACCTTCCAAGGTAGCATGGATCTTGGCGCATTGAGCAAGCCATTTCTTGTCGGGACCAACAAGCCATGAAAATTTGTCTGTCATGTAGTTGTTTCGCATTCCTCGAAGGCCCTCGTCAAAGTCTTCTGAGAACTGTTTGGCTTCGGCAGTTCTACGTATTATGTAAGCATGTTTCAACGAGATCAGTTGACTAAATACCTACTGTTCGGAAGGTGAGAGTGAACCAGACGATTTGCCGAAGATAAACTTCATGGAACTATCTAAGAAAAGCCCCTGGGCGAGAGGTTGGATATCGATCGTAGAACCATCTCGAGGTATACGTTCAAGGAAGCGTTGCAGATGAGACTCCAACCCTGATAATTGTGAAACTTGTGACCGACTGAAGACGGGTTGGAGAAGTTCTCGAGACCTCTTCCATATATGCCCATCGGTGGTAAAGGCGCCATCACCTAGCAACGGCCCAGCTGGCTTACGGTTCGAAGGCGCACTTCCGAACTTATCGGCTTGAGTAGCGGCGACAGTTTGTATAACCAAAGGATCCATAGTCATCCAGTGATTTCTACCGAAAAATAGTGTATGCAATGTTTTCCCATATTTTGCGAATAATTCATCGTCTAAAGCCAGGAGCTTTCCGGCCTTTGTGTAATTCATCTTCTTCGCGAGGAGGTCGAATCCTAAGATTCGATCAAGGTGTTTGTACTTGACCGGAGAAGAGCATCCGGCTTTATTTCTGGTCGACCAAGCCAGTATCTTTGTCCACAGCCAGTAAATTGTTGGAAGAACAATACTCAACAGGAACAGGGTATTGAACGATTTCGCCATTTTTTGATTTATGCTGGCGTTGTTCAGATATTTGGACCGTGGGCATGAAAATGGCGAAACTGAATGCGTCGAAAGCCCAAAACTTATAAGAGAATCAGCACCAACGGTTGGTTTGCCAATATGTCCCCACTAACAATGGCCATTTGAATGATCTCTACAACACTGTATAATGCAAGCTTTCGCCTTCTACGTTTGATTTGCATGAAATTCGACGCAAAATCCGTCGGCATATAATATGCCTTTCCTTTCAACGTCGAATTTCATGATTAACCGCAACCGAATAAATCTTGTCAGGGTTTTAGACTGTTTGTGAAGATTTTCTACGAGAAGCAATGCAGACTTCATATCCATCACCGCCCAAAAGACATCAATTTTATTTGATCAGAGCATGTTTTATCAAATACGACTTTGAATCGCAAGAACGGAGCTCTAGATCTTCTGCTCGTCTATCCCTAGCAGTACGCCTCTCCAAGCCATCTTTCCTTCGCTACATTGAGATACGCAATGATTGACTGTACAGAGATTGGTATTAAATCTTTTCAAGAGATAAGCACAAGGTTGACCAATGCGAGAAAGTCTCTCAATCACGAATATTAAAAGAACCTAGTTCGAATCAGGACTGGCAAGGTTACCTTCGGCATCCTGTGCCATTTTGGTTTGCCTCCGTGTGAGTGGTCATTTTAGGCAGCTTTATGGCACAGTCTGACTGCTTAATACCCGAAGCAAAGCTATTGTAGTCGTTTGATCGCGATTGTCATTCTTTTATTCTCATTCTTGATACTTTTCCTAGTTCCAACATGCGGCGGTCAATCACTTAAATCTATAATTTTCACTGTCACCTCCCTTGCTGTCTCCGGCTGTGCCTTACCAAATTTAAATCCGCCATTACCTACTCACGAGGCTACTGATGCCACTCGGGTCTCCAATGACACCCATAGAAAACCAATTGTGATAAATACTGATAGTGGCACAAACAATCAAGTATCTATTTACACCAGAGATGAGGAACCTCCATACGCCGTTCTTCTAGTGCAGTCCTTACCCTCTTCTTACACAATCACGCTCCCTATCTCTACCTGTCCTAGTATCACTGAGAATACGGATCTTAGCGCCAAAGAGAACCCCATTTGCCCTGATGGCCAAAAACCTTACACCCTGCTCTTCGACACAGCTTATTGTGTCGGTCAACCTTGGCATACATTGGAAGGAGTGAATCAAATGCTTAACGGGGGTATGTGGATACCCACTGAGCCCACAAGATGGGTTGAGAAATGGTCCATTATGTACAAATGTGCTCGCATCAAAAGAGACATGCTACATAGCCTCGCAGAGACAAAGGGTGTTCAAACTCTGGACGCTCGCCGCATTCGAACTATCGTGTATCCTATTATCAACGGTAATGAAGTGGGTCTCACTTGGAATCCTCCACCGGCAGGTATTCTTGGTCCGCAAGTAGGCAAGCTTCCCGAGGGGTTCTGTCTTTGGTCCTCTTCTCCGGAATATGCTAATGTTACCCGTCTCATGCGTCCACTTAAATGTCCTGTACGTCAAAAGCCATACATGCACCTTTTCACTCAACATGAATGTCGTGGTAACTATGTTCTCTCTGATAGTTTTGGATGGAATGCTACGCTGTTTGATGAGGTCGTGGAGGAGTGGTCGATTTTGTTTACATGCTCCGACTATGAGTACGCAGCAGGAGATAGAGAACCGGCGATTGAGAAAATGCAAGAATTGAAATTTGGGGACGCAGAAGAAGAAGTAGCCGCCATACAATCACTCCTCACAAAAGTTAAACTCCCCGCAGCACATCAAATATCTGCTACTCCTTAAAACGCAACTCTCGCACTAACTCAAACATTCCATCCACAAATCTTCCAAATCCCGCTCTCAACCTGTCTGTCATCCACCTCAGAAACCCACAAATTCTCCTCCATTGTTCGCATCGTCACTCCACCTACATGTCCACCAAGAACTACCGAAACTATGGACGTTAATGTATGCCACCATTAAAATGGGTCGGATGGCATACAAACACCAGTGACCAGCTATCTACCCTTGGATTAGCCATAGAAATATTTTCCAACAGCGATCTATAAAGCGGATAGCTGTGCTCTGTAGGCGAGTAGCGACGAAGGTCAAGACATCCTGGCTTCCTGTCAATCCTAAAACCTGGAAGATGGACACGGAAATGGAGTTGATTTTGGAAGGAAAGGGGAGGGATGCTGCTGTGAAGATTGTGAGGGCTGGGGCCGGCGAAAAGAGGGAAGGGGGGTTAACAGAAGGTATGCAGCTCGAAAGCCAGATGAAAATAGAAGCAGCAGCGCAAAACCCACTCAAAGATGTGTGAAAGTTACACAACCTGAACGAGTTTAAGCTGGCTTTTCTAGGAGAACCAGCTTAGTATGCAGTCCGATCTCCAGAAATCTTTGACTATGAATTTTCATTGTATAGTAAATGGATTTGATATGTAATGTTTTTATAGGCTACTGAAAGTAGCAATTTCAGTGTTTTATTCGTCAATTCTCATTGCGATCATTTAATGCTTGGCACAATATATTACGTCTCTTCCAACTCAGATCCCATTGTATCATTTGGTTATCCAGCCCAATTTGTCCTCTGCCTTTGATGAAGTGATACCGGCGATGAATCTGCAGTCTAGTTCTTTGGTAGCCTTTGCAAGACTGAGCAATTAGTCTTGAACAATGATGTATTACTGCAATTATATAGAGAATTAACCACCAAGACCAAAATAGACATTCTTAGAGTCAGATATGGAAAATTTTAAAGCTCGAGCTGATTTCAACACTACGAACACATTTTTTTTCAATCTAAACATTGACAATCATCTATCCTACCGAATCTTCTCCGTTGACTTAATAAACTTGGACAGATAGTTGCAATCCGCAAGTTCGAGCATTGCAAAAGCAGATTCTAAAGTCTCTCAACAGTATACCCGAAATATGGTACGTCCGGTCTGTCCAAGTTATTACCAATTATGGTCTCATTGTGGCTCCAACCAGTCGTTGATGTTATCGCACTAAGCAATTCCTCATAGATGCCAAGTGTAATTTCTCTGATACGATTTGTGGAAGCTACAAACTGTCCTTTATAAGACGATAAGACAGGTTCCTCACACGTCTCATTATGATGCAGTCTTTTGTATAAAGATGCCACCATTTCCCACTGATCTTCCCAACACCATCGATCACTGCAATCTTGGCAATTGTATAACACACCGGCGAATCCTAAGTTAAGCATTCCAGTTACTCCAAAGATCACACCAAGTAATGTGAGTCGATATTCTTCCCAAAGAATGATAGTTGATGCAACAACGGCTACTCCCGTTTCGCAGAGAATATTTCCTCTGCTAGGTCCCGCTATGGAGCCAGATGCAAATAAAACGATCCTATCTGTGATTCACGCCAAAGGCTAACCAGCAGAATGTCAATTCTCAGCCTCGATTTGGGGAAGAGTTAGACTTACAAATAACATTGCTAAGACAGGCGAGCTCGGCATATGCAAGATGGCTTGCATAAGTAGAGGTATTGAAATTGCAGTGTCAATCGAGGCGGGAACCATGCTCTTCCATCATTCGAACCATGTTGTCTCTCGCCATATATGGTTCCTGAGAGTGACTCGCTTCAGGCTGTTATGATTGAGGTCCAGCGGTTCGAGCTCTACGCATAATGATAGGATAACCGCACCCAGCTATAGGGCAAAGAATCGAAAGGCAATTGTAAGAGCTATAATATTGTTATTCGGGATTCAGGTAAGTCAAATGGAATAAGACGTACGGTAATCTGATTGCGGTTTGCCTATATAATTGAAAGATTGAGAGCTTAATTTGCGGTATAAATTGTGAACTAGAAGATATTTGCTTGAATATGTTGAAATTGCAGCAGAGATTATTCAGACACCGTAGAGAGGTCAAACCATTAGCGGTTCGCATAGAATTAGACCTCGCATCGAAAATAACCTAATGATGTAAGCCTTACTTACTAGTATCTTGGTCCATATCATGATCTAGGCTGCAAGTAGCCTACCTCTTGCTCAGATCCGCCTGACATGTCTGCGTCTGGAACCAAAGGCGCAAGACTCGACCTTGGTAAGTTAGATTCTAGGTTGACGCAGTCGCTATAGCATTGTTTCTTAGTATATCATTCGGAATTTGAAAGTGAGGATTGCTATTCTAAATTTTCATGAAACCTGTTAGGTAGAACTACAGTATGATCTGATTATATGTGGAGATGTTGGTGGCACAGCAGACAGAGATAATACTTCTTCAGATTGAAGCAAGATCCTAAGTTGGTCTCCATTCCTCCGCTGTTGCAGAATGAACCTGCTAGGATGACTCGTTGCCACTCTGTTGCATTGCGACCGGGTCAGATCACGCACTCGATACTCGATTAAACCGTTTGTTTTTGATGATCTGATCCGAATGCTAGCTACATGCGTAGAATAGATTATCATCTGCCAATACCTCGGTACTCCATTTAAACAACTTAGCCTGGCTAAAAAATAACGGTTATGAAAGCAAAATGTAAATCTAGGGCATGGAGCAGGGATGACCCCAAAAAGCGGTTTATGTCATTATGCTAAAGAGATAAATCCCATATATTCAAGTCATCTTTGGTACGGATCTGTGCCCCTATTGGGTTCGCTAGGCCGCACCAACAGTTGAGATGACGTTTGATATACATAGCGCGACAAGGGTATCGTCAGAATTACGGGATATGCTTCTTTTCAAGAGCACAAGGGATGGATAACATGTCAGACCGCCAATAACAAGCTTCTCAAATCGCAGCTCTTCGGCTTCTGATTCCCTCGTTGCAGCGTCTAATCCTGTACATTAATTGTGAGAAGTTCTACTAACTGATAAGCTCTGTTCTTGTTCCCAATGCGACCTGTGCTTCTAACACAACAGCGAATCTGCCCCAGTGAAGATCTCGCACGGAGGTGGATTCGAGATTCGCGAGAACGTCGAGGATTAAAAGTGGATTGGAAATAGACTAACGCAGGTCTCACCGCGTTTGGTCTGATTCGGCTAGGGTAAGGTTACAGTATCGCTTACCAGATGCAGGGGGTTCCAGGAGATTAGATCAAGGCGGAAGTAAGCTTTTGAGTTGAGAGATCAAAGCATCTTTTCTGAATTGGAGACTTGAAGACTTGAAGTCCATTGGAAAGAGTCGCATATCTTCCCTAAACAAATTAACCTTGCGGCAATTATATCCTGATACTTCTCTTATTGACCTAATCCTGTAAAGTCATAGGCACATGGTCTGTTGAAAGAATCAATTCTCTGCGATTGATGAGTTATTTAATCAGATAACGCCAATAGCAAGTTTTTAAGAAAAAATGAGCGCTAGTTTGGTATTTAGCTTGGCCTACTAACCAAATTCTTTACACATAAATTTAAGTTTATCACAAATTAAGCTAGCCATAAATTAATGCAAAACAAATCATTGCCTGACCATATACAATAGAGATAATGGTTATAATACATTTGAAAGAAACCTCCACCCCTGCTGCGATACTATCCACTAATCAAATTCCCACTCGATCCAGTCCCAACACTATCCATATCTAGCGCTCCCTTATTTCGGGACGTCGATGATTCCATCGAGCGCCATTTTAGTGGCGTCGGTAACGAACGCTTCGAAGCCGGCCAGGATTGCCTCTCCAATCTCGCAAATAGCTAGTGTGAACCAATAGACACTTCCAATTCTGCCTGTCGTAAAGTGTGTGTCTAACTCAGCACAGCCCCCACCGATATCGCCGCGACCATCTTCGCCGTTTGTTCCAGGGTTGCAATTCTGATTAGATTAAGCAAGCTACGCTGTCCGGACATAGCAACCAAATAGGCGCAGACCTCTATCTTGTCAAGAGAGACGCAGGCACAAAGACTTGGTGTGTGAGCCCATGTAGGCTTGTTAGATTCATTTTTGGCCAAACTGGTAGATTTTAGCATTAGCGGTTAGAGAATTTGCTGACTTTCGATTATCGAAACACATTGAAGTTTTGGAGTTTGTTTATGTAAGTAATGGAATTCTTACCATTTTTATCCCGGATACTCATTGGCTTTATTAAGTGTCCGAAGAAGTATGTATCCTTGAACTGAGAGTCCTAAACCAAGGACTAAAGTCATGGAGAATTGCATCTCCACTAGAAACAATAAACTGTTGAGTGAGATAAGAAGTTACTTTGAGGAAGAAGAAGACGCTTACTCCATTCTACCTCAGCCTCTTCAGGAACTCTTGAGAATTTTCGCGGGGTTATGTATATTAGAAAAGAAGAGTGAGAGGATGTATCGGCTCTGCAAGACCCATTGCATACACATTTAATACTGTGCCTTGTGAAGATTGTTTGATACTTTGCATGGATTATGTAGTATTCCTTGGCTAAGAAATCAGAGCTTGATGGGAACTTCTAATGAACTGTAATTTAGTTAGGCCATACGAAGCTTTTTTTCCCAAATTCCATATATAACTCGCAAGTCATCTCAAAGTTGAAAGTATGAGCTAGCCGCACTGGTCCCACACTAGTTAGTATATACACTTCACCACAGCAAATATTTCAAAAATCAACCATTTCGCATTCAATACCTAGGTAACCAGATACAAGCCTTCACATCCGTTCAAATTCATCAGTTTTCCCGAAAATAGCATGAGTTTAGACATCAAGCTCACTATTCTAGCTGGCCAGTCTGACTTGTGATTATAAGCTAACCCAAAGAGAGCCATGCATGAGAAACGACGTGATGAATATTGCTCCTATAACTACGGTATAACTCAACCTGGCAGATCTGAAAGTAAGATCACCCCACAGATGTCCAAAGTAGATAAATGGAAACTTCCACTTCCAACACAAACACAAATAAAAAACTTCGCTTACTTTACCCTACCCTCATACATCAAATCAACCGCTTCATCTCACTCACCGAGACACGGTTATGAATTCGATCCCGCTCTTTCCTAAACAAATATACTATCAAAGACCTAGGTAGGCAGGCTAAGTTGATCTTCTTGTCTATAATAGCCAACGCAAATTCTTGATATCTCGAACCATAGCATCGTGTCATCCTTCTAGAATCAAGCCACGCTACTTCCCATCACAATCGCAGCTCGCTGCACCACTAAATGATCGCAAAGCTTCCCACTTTAACTCTGCAATCCTTCTTTACTGCTCAAACCCATGTTTTTCATTCTTATATCGACTCAGTCCAGAAATTGACCTCTCGAGAGTGTCTTCATTTGTGCTTCAATCTTATCATATCACATCATATCAATTTCCATTCCATATTCCTCTACTAACCTTTTATCCCGACCGAGGCTTTTATATCAACGCTAACTCGTCAAGATATCAAGATGTCAAACAAATACCAAGAGCATGGATAAAATAATAAGATGTAAATGGATTAGCAATAGCGAATTTCCAGTTAGCTTCACACACCGATTCACATCTCAAATTCCTGATGAACAGTTAAGCTTCATTCTCAATCACTCACGAAATATTCTTTTGACTTGCAATCAGTAGAAGATTGCGAAGCTTCCAAGCCTAGAACAACCACAATGAGCAAAACTCAATCTGAGTATGAGAACAAAGCCTACCAGCTACCCAGTTATAACATTAGAGAATATAATTCCACACGAAAAAGGACACAAATCCAAACTTTTGGTATGATTCTACGTATCAAGTATATCAACTTCCAATACCCAGCAAATGCACCATGCATCGCTAGCCCCAAACACCACGCTACATAAAGCGAACCAATTTTTTAAATCCCCAATCACTCCATCACAGATACTCCTATGATCTATATCATCACCAAATCCATAATGTATTCAATCAATTCCACAGCTGAATCTCCATCTCCATCTCCCAACTTTCCACCACACACCCCTCATGCATTCCCGCATGCGCCTGCACACCGAGCTGCCCCCACCCCTCCTCTTCAAGCCCCACCACAATTTGCGGGATATCCCCCAAAACACGCTCTCTTATTGAATACCCACTACTATTTCGAAAAGTATCTCGAGACTCCTCTCTCTCACTCTCACTCTCACTCTCACTCAGACTCCCACTCAAAACCAAATCCTCACACTCCTCCCCCCCCTCATCCATCACCCCCCTCTCCACCCATCCCAAAGCCAAAGGCGAACACGGCGTATTCGGCGGCGCAACCAGACTCATCACCAACTCTCCCCTCTCCATTCCATGCACCTCCCCATCGCCCTCACCTTCGCACTCTCTAGAAGAAGAAGAAGATAAAGGACCCCAACCCTTACACCTCACACTCGGACTACCCACTCCGAAATCCGGGACTCCCAGAAACCCATCTCGCACCTCCGGCGACGCGGGACTATTAACCGGCGTCAGCAGCGTTACCGGAGAAGGGGGAATCGCATTCCCGCGATGAAATCGTAGATTTCTCGTCGAGGGTGAAGCGGTCCTGAAAACCCGAGGAATGTCCAGAAAAGTCGAGACGGAAGGGGAATGAGATGATAGGGGGGAGAGAGAGGAGAGCGAGGGAGTAAAAGGGAAAGGGGAGGAAGAAGAGCAATGCTCAAAATCTGCACCTACGATACAGGTATCGATGACGATGACGGGAGTTTCCAGCGCGGATGCGGATGTAAGTGCGAATGTAGTCGACATCTTTCTTTCTGCATGCGCTCAGCTCACTCTTGCAATAATTCAATTCGAGTAAAATCCAGAAATCGATACGATGGAAGCAAACCAAGAGATGAGAAATCGAATCTCTTTTTTCGACTTTCGAAAAATTCCAGATAACAAGAAAAGCAATCCGAGTCAAACTCACAATCAATACCGGCACAGGCCTACTTTATACCTTGAATAAATTTCTTCCCATGAGGTCTCGGTCAAGTCTCGGTCTTCCAAGTGGTTGTATCATTTACATATGTTGGTTTTAATATATTTCATCGGCTAACTGCTTCACTCGTGCCCTGTTGATAGTCTGCCACAATAATTTCAGGCTTACAACTCGGTTGCACCGCCTGCGTCCATACAAACCGTCCTCTCATATCCAAGAATCTAGAAGCTCGAATTTTTCGAACCACCGCATTCATGACCGACCAACTAGGTCTCAAACAATGTGTTGGGATTTTACACGATAAGGGTAGAGACCGATGTAGATCGGTCTTCAAGGTGGCCTTTTCAAAACAATGAAAAGAACAAATAGAAAGCGCTGAAAGGAAAAAAAAAAGCACACACAAAAGCAACGCGAAAGAAAATCAACGATAGTTTCAATATATTTCTTTCTTTATTCTTTCTAACGAAATTGAACTGAGGGGATATCCATGCCAGGACTTCTATCTATAATGCCATGCCAAAAAATTGAACTCGCCAATGACAGAAAAACCTAAAGCAAAGGGTTGGATCTATACTCAGGAACAACAACATTGCTACCCTTTTCTGCGTCTGCCTTTTCCAAATCATTTTCAGCATCCTCTTGCTCAGCAAGGAACTTCTCGGCCTCGAGAGCTGCTATACATCCGGATCCTATAGATATAATTAGCCTTTTTCTCACAGTCTACAGAAATAGATAGATGACATACCTGCACTAGTAATAGCCTGTCTGTATCTCTTATCCTGAACATCACCAGCAGCGAAAACACCCTCAATGTTGGTATAACTGGTTCCGGGCTTGGTGACAATATATCCTTCGGAATCGGTCTCGATTTGCTCCTTGAACAATGCGGTAGCTGGGTCATGTCCTATAGCATAGAACAACCCATTTGCCTCTACCTTTTCTTCTTCGCCAGTAGTGACGTTCTTGAAAACCATGTGGGTCATCAATCCCTTGTCATCACCAGTGATTTCGCCTCCCACAGTGTTGAATCTAACAGTAATTTTCTTATTGGCGAGCAATCTCTTAGCCATCGTTTTCGACGCACGTAGATGATCTTTTCGGACCAAAACAGTAACGTGGGATCCGTATTTCGTGAGGAACATAGCCTCTTCCGCAGCAGTATCTCCACCACCAATAACTACCAAAGGCTTGTTTCTGAAAATTGGAACGGCTCCATCGCAGACTGCGCATGCGGAGATACCATTTTGCCAGTATTTCTCCTCTCCTGGAAGACAGAGTCTACGAGCCGAGGCACCAGTAGCAATGATGATCGAATCGGCTGTGTGTTCTGTTTTGTCGTCCCATTCGGTCCAGTATTTGAAAGGACGTTTGGAAAGGTCTACTTTGGCGACGGTTTCGGTGATGATTTCGGTGCCGAATCGTTCGGATTGTGCGCGCATGTTGTCCTTTACACAGATTCATCAGTTGAAGTTCAACCCAATACATGTCAATAGTGTCGCTTCACTTACCATAAGTTCTTGTCCGCCAATTCCCTTGGGGAAACCAGGGAAGTTCTCTACATCGGTAGTGGTAGTCAATTGACCACCGGCAGCGATTCCATTGGCAAGGAAACCTTCATAAAGAACAGCTGAATACCGAATGTCAGCCCGATACTCCTCCATAAATGATCGATTTCCGATCTCAGGACATAGACTTACGTTTCAATTCCGCACGCGCAAGATAAACGGCAGCAGTGTGAGCCGCAGGGCCGGAGCCAATAACTATTTCACAAAGTCAGTATAGGTTCGTAGATCCCATCTTTTACATCCATTTTCTCAAGTTCTCCATCCCACTCCCGTTCCATTCCCATCTCTCCCCGCCACAGTGAAAGAGAAGGGGGATACTCACTAACAACCTTACTATGCATCTTTCTCTCTATATTTCTTCCAAGCAAATTTGCAGCAGTATTACTCTTGACGGAATTCTTCTGTTGAAAACAAGCAGCAGCCGCAATTGAAACACCCGAACCGCTTGCCCTCAAAGTACGTTTAAGAGCTGAAGAAAACACCTTGTCGATTTGCAATGATCTGCCCCTCTTTTTGTTTTATTTTTTATCCTGAAATAGATGTATGTGACTGTGAATTTAAAGGACTTTGATCTATGAATTTATAAATGTACTCGTAGATATTGTAATATAATAATTTTTGAATAGAGAAGAAGAAGATAAGAAAGTAGTTGTGGTGTTAAGTATTCATTTATTTATTCGTTTGTATGTAAAAAGACTCGAAGATTCGTTGATTATAATTAATCTTATTATTCTTATTATTGATTTCAAACAATGTTCCCAGTTCCCCGCCAAAATTTCGTGATCACCAAGGCCTCAAGGGATCTGGACCACCTTTGTGTCTGGCTTTGCATCAACAAGCAGAATTCACAAACGTGACACAGATCAAGCCTAGACAAACGTTATTCATTACTTAGCAGATCAGATCAGATCAGATTAGATAACATTTATTCTCTAGATTCTAGATTCGAGATTCGAGATTCGAGATTCGAGATTGAATTCTAAATTCTAAATACCAACTTTAAAATTTACAAACATATTAAAGGTTCAACAGTGAGACCGACTATCGCATTCATACGATCTCATCCGATACACATATACCGGGTAGCTGGAGGTAATAGATAGATAACTTTACGATATATCCCGAAATCCCAAGGTCAATTCTCGGTACCCCAAAATAAATACATCTCCCTATTGATCCTCACCCATCCCCCCTCCTCATTAATGATAAACACTGTCCAAGTTACTCTTTAGTCGTAAATCCCACACCAAATACGCTTTGAAACCCAACATCAATTTCTTTAACTGAAACGTTGTCTTTTTGCAGCTTTCCTCTTGCTCAGCCCTTCTTTTTTTTCATTCCTGAGACCCTTCTGCCTGCTATCTAAGCGATGACATTCAAATCGGATCTTATCCGGCCCTGAGTCTCAAATTTTGGTGATTGCAATAAATACCTAGGTAGGTCTATATCTTATTCAATTCACTATGCAAAAAGGTATCGTCACCACCATAGGACTGATTTCATTCTAAAGTCCATCCATAAACGTCCATCTGCTACTTGGTATAATCATCTATACTCCCATCTCTCTTAGCACCAAACCTACCCCCTATATTCATCCCACCAAACCCAGACATATCTCTTCTGAAGAACTTTCCAATACTCTTCAGATTCCCTTCCACGGCTGACTTAGCATCCTCGCTCAAAGGACTTACCCCTCTATCGCCGACCCCTCCAGTTCCCATACTATCCCTGGCTGCACTAAATAACTTTTCTCCAAAACCTGCGGGGTCAAATCGTGTCTGTAATCCTGGCATACCACCAGGTGTTCCAATTCCTAGACCCGTGCTACCAAGCCCCGCAACATTCATAAGTGGTGTGAGAAGAGGTGAGTTTTGAACCAGCTGCTCATTAGCCTTACCATCTCTGTGCATACCAAACATTTCCACTAATGCAGCCTGATCTTGCTTTCTGACACCCTTCAATTCTAAAATTTTCCGGAAATTCGTATCGCTACGATCGGCTATGTGAATTAGGTATGCTTGAACCAGTCCCTCTGGCGGTGAGGGACGGACCTGTAGCGTCTTGAGGAGCGGGTCCAGGCGTGCCATTATGTTATTTACACGCTTTTGAAATGCGGTATTTGCAGTGGCTGAAGAGGGAGTGGGGGAGTGAGAGAGCAAGGTGGTCAGTCCTTTAGTTAAGACGTATTTGTCTAGTAACATCTGAATAACAGGTTAGAAAAAATGTTTAATAGAAGTGGGTACCTTGCACTTGGGAATTTACATACCTGCTCTGCGCCTACCTCGGATACAGGTCGACATTGAACGATGTTTGCGATATACGTATTGGCCAAATGCTCGACAACGTTGTCACAGAATGCACGCGCATATTGCTGCTTCCCCACCAACGGTAGTATTTCTCCCGCTTGATCATTGACATGTTTCAATAACTCTGCCACATAACTGCTCTGATCACCCACGCTTTCCATTTTACTCCAATTTGTATTCTTCATCTCACGCCATGCTCCTTCACAGTCAAGTTCAACTCTGCTTACCAATGATAGAACTGCTGCGCTGGCAACACCCATAAAAGTATCGGATTGTGACGATAAGTCCACTTTGGGTGCCAATTCACTGTCAATTCTCCGTTTCAGATTATCTTCTAATTGCTGAGTGTTTGCGTGCCAATAATCCGCTGTGTTGAGAACAAGGATAGTGTTCTCAAGACTGGGTCCTCCAGCTCCTTGTAAGAAAAACAGTAAAACCTGCTGAGCATATTGATCGAGATATTTAGCTAGGATCTTTGAGAAGTCAAGAAGTCGTTCACTGGTTGACAACTTGGCACATTGAGCCAGGGATGTCTTGTAAAAATGGAAAAGCTCGATAGATGACGCAATCACAGCCTGTGGAGAGAATTCTTCATCGGCTGCTAATAATGGTTGAATTCGATATTTGGGTATCATTGTGGCGAGTTGTTTGTCTTGTGAATCAACCCAAAGACTAAGATATGGTTCGAAGGCTTCCGAAATAGACCCGTGAAATGTCAGAGGTTTATCCTCGAGTGAGCTGAGAGTATCAATGCTTGCTCTCGCCTCTGTAGCGAATCTCTTTTCAAGACTTTGCTCGAAATCCATAGTTTCCTGTAGGCAACTTAGGAGCAAGTTGACGTCTATCCTACTTCCATCTGTTCGCCTCATGCTCCGCTCCAAGATTCCCTTGAAATCATCCCTAGTGCCTTCGCAGAAGGCATTTGCCAGGACCTCATTGACTCTCCATCCAGCAGGAAATATTCCCGCATGTTCATCCTCAAATGTCTTGAGCATTCTCCTAAACCAACTGTATCTTCTACCAATATTATCCAAGCTTCCAGCTTCATCATTTCCCCTGAAAACCTGCCTATATTCCCTCAATTGCGTATTGACATACCACGTCACCAATCTTGCCCGAGCGTTATCTCCCAATGCGTCCATCACCAGACATGACTCTGCCAGCACTGCTTTCTTGCTCCCCACTTCTCCTTTGGCAAACGCCATCTCAAAGTCCTCGCAGACTTGCTCCAACAATTCTCTTTGTAACTCTGAGACACCCCTACTCAAGGTAGCAATCTGGTCTATGCTCCTATAGCTATTGAAATGCTTCATAAGTTGCAGTACAGCCTGAAGCAAGCTTGCACATTCTCGGTATTGTCTTGTTTTGGCTAAACCCCTTAATTGTTCGTAAGCAGTCGTAAGCATTTGTAACCTTTTCAGAGCCGTCATGCTCAGGGTTAAGTTCTTCTTCGTGCCATCCAGTCTCTTGATATCTGCGGTCATCGAGGTGATCGTTTGCTCTGTCTGTATAGCCCGTGTTCGTACTGATTCAATCTTTCTGAAAAGATCTGCAAGCTCCGACTTTGCAGACTGCATCCGTTTGAGTGAGGAATCATCATTGTATGCTTGAGTGGCCACGAGATTCACGATGTTATTTGACAGCTCATCCTGATGAGTTTGTAGAGCAGCAGCCGTTTGATCTATAGAGGACAAAGTCGAAGGATGAGAAAATATCGTGTTCAAATGATCAATAGGATCATAATCAGCTGCGGGGAGTGAACATGATCAGTGGGAATTATTGAATGTCGTAGAAGTGAGGTTGGGGGACTTACATGCATCCAGGGATGAAGGTATCGATACGTCATTCATGCTGTAATGATGGTAATGATATAAATTAAATTATTGAGAACAGTACTCAATATATTAATGACCAATGCATGTATGAATAAACCAAGTAATTATTGATGTGCAGTCGTAAAAAAGTGTTTGGTATCATTCCTTTCTCATGATAACGTAGAAAATGGTCGCACTGTCTATGCGTGCATCCTCAAAACATGTCAGCCTCGTCAGCCTTTCAACCAAGTTACGTTTCAAAAATGTTTCGATAATTGTGAGCTCCATTACAGAAGTATGCTTTTTATGAATCGCTTTATTATACATTGAGCCGTATAGCTACTTATGATACGGGTATGCTTGACCCCATAGTGTTTCAAGAACACCGCCTCATGCTATTTCTTTGTCATTTCGTCATAACTCGTGATAATACCAAATAGAGAGCCGGCCTTCAATTTCATCCTCAAAAACGAAAAGAGCCCCTGAGAAGACTCTATTTCCCATATCTACCTAATTGGATCTTTGGGCATTCAAAATATTTATGAATGTTGAAAGCCCTCGTCTTCCGAACCACCGGATTAGCACATTCGATGCGCCATACAAATACGAACATTGAGTGGTTTACGCATCATGTAGAGCTTTAAATCCAGCTGATATTAAACTTCGCGGGCCTGGTGCATCTGCTGTCCCGGTCCAGTAAAACAGTCCCTGATTCTATCAGTAAACGCCCGTGACCAACAAAAAAGGGGACGACTTACTCCAAGACGCCTTTGTCTACAATAGTCAGCTTTCATTCTGACTGTTTGTGGGTTGTCGTAAGAGACCCATCCCCCATCACCTCCATGGCAGGAAGCTGAAATAGTGGTGGTATCAACCACCTCTTGAGTTCCGGGCCGCGGTAATAACTTGTACTCGAATGTTCCGTCTTCCCCACCGCAGCCTTGGTATGGGTGACCTGGTCCTCTAGAGTTCAAGAAGGATCTTCCATATACTGGAACTCCAAGTAATATCTTTGAGGCTGGAAAACCAGTCGATACAACATAATCGACAGCAGCACTTCCATTTGCTGCATCCGGCACGTTCCCAGGAAAAAGTTGGGCGTGATGTCCTGACTTTTGGGACCATGAACCATGAAAGTCGTAGGCCATAAGATTGATTAGATCTCTGAAACAAGATAACATGTTAGTACAGCTAGTTTATGGAACACAGTTATTGGGGGGGGATTTTATAGATCAAGACTTCATGGCTCAAGGAGTATGGGTATAAATCATCCTTACAAATAATCTTGAGCTTTGTAAAGATCGATATTTTGCAAAGCCCATCGTCCGGCAGGTAAAGCGGCTGTTAAAAGATATCTTTCGTCGGGTAGATGAATTCTAATAGCAGCGAGGAGGGCAAGGAAATTTCGACCCTGTTCAGGATCCGATGGATGTTCCCAGTCGACTAGCTTGTCAGTGTGATTGTTATCAACCATAGAATCAAAACTTACTATCAACACCATTGAAACCTGTCGCATCTACTAGACCTCGGACCGACTTTCCGAAATGATCTCTTGTGGCAGCTGAAGCAGCAACTTGCGGAAAATGTTGGCTTGCCGCACCACCGCCTATAGAGATGATGAGCTGGAGATGTGGATGCTGTTGTTTCAAACGCATAAATGACCCTAGACAGCCGCCTCCAGTGGCACCGTCAACGGGCATTTGCATATCTGCCCATTCATCACTCAACTGATATAGTTAGCAATAGTCGGAGGTATCATTTCAAGGGACGAAAAACCAACAAAAACTCCACCATCCGGGCCAACATGAGCAAAAGCATAAAAGACATGGCTGATACAACCAAAGTTCAGTGACCCAGGCGTCTCTCCGCGATAAACTCGATAGTTGGGGTAGTATACGGCATTTTTATACATGATATTAGAAATACTCGCGGCGATTGATGGCTGAGAGGGCCTACGAGTGTCTATCTGTGGTCTCGAGTTCCAGGGTATAGGAGGAGCTCCGTATGGATATGACATTTCCAAGAAGACGAGGAAGACTGGAAATCAGTGAATGGATTACCTCCCACAAATACTTCTTAATTCAAGTCCACGTTGGAAAGCAAAAGTATCGAAGAGAGGATAGATGAGTGACTGATTTAGAGAAAGATGGAAAAGATAAGAGCTTGAAAGCAGCTCCCTTGATCTTGAGGGAAGCGTTAATGTTTGAACAAACTTTGGTACAAATGAATTCACCTGCAAGGCTGATTATGCTTGAAGATGGAGAATCAAAGGTCGGTATTTGGTAGTACATATGCATGAGAAATGACGAAGGAGGAGATCAATCATACATATATCCACCAGCAGACTGGCATAGCTGAATTGTGGAAGCTTGTGATAGTGGAGCGATGAAGGAAAAAGTGTGTGGGGATGATGACTTTGTAAGGAAGTTCCTAGTTAAGGATAAATTTCAAAATCGACGGCAAGACGACCTAAGGGAAGATCCGAGCCATGAGCGATACTAGCCAAGTTAAAGCCGGTTTCAAGATGTCGAATGGGATGATTGCCATATACCAATAGGTATGTATGTAACTCTCTTCTTCCTTTGATACATACGTAACGAGTCTAAAGATAAATCTATGACTGCCGCAACCATATACACACTCATACCTAGGGAGGTAGGTATCTTTAGGTTAGTATCCCGGAGGTAGATCTGCACTACCTGCACACCAGACCAACAAGCAATATGTGTATGTGGCTGTGGCGTTGCGTAAAACAGATCGAATCAAATTCACTGTTCCGTAGCTTTGCCATTGGAATCAGAGCAAGCGGTATCCATCGTATCGACGCAGGCTCAAAAAGAGTATCGGAAGAACGACGGAAGATCATTCGGCGAGCTGAGAGTAGCTTTTCGTGAAAGAGGAGAACGTTATTAACTGATTATTAGTATGAAGAATGCGTCTCAACCTACACCGGCCAATATTATGTTGAGTATCACTATCAATCCAAATTTATATTTCGTTTGCCACGCCATTGAACCGACGATACCGTATTCGGAATCTTCCCCTTTGCTCTCGTCGAAGTTTGAACCATTCATCATTCGATTCATTAACCTATTGCATTGAGATTAGGATTAGGATCAGAATCAGGATCAGGATCAGGATCAAGAATAAAAGTTAAACATGCTTTTCGACTATACCTAGGTATCCATTGCATCCACCATGTTACAGCAGCCTAATGCAATGCTCATCGGCTAAACCCTTAGAAACTAGAGGGGTCAAAAACAAAATAAATAGAAAATCAAGTGCTGGATGGATGAATGTATAATTTGTTTTACCAATTGAATGTGGGTTTTAAAGATTCCAATTACCAAGATCAACGTGCAAAGTTCGTGTTCTGACTCGTTCTTTCATCCTGCATGCATGCATGGCATTGCATGCGCCATGGCTCATGATATCGATGCAAAATAGCGACCCTCGCGACCCTACCTAAGTCATCTACTGAGATATTCTACTGACCTGACATACTGGCTCCATACTATCTACCTACTATCCACGTACTGTCTAGGTACCAGGTATCATCACCAGCCTACTCACAATTTGTGCACATGCACCTTCAGGCATCGGTAACCAATCTTGGAAAATTCGCCGTCATCAATTATTATGAACCCTATCCTTGCTTCATCAGTATCGTGAGAAAATGTTTAAAACCTTCATGATCTCTTTTTGTGGAGATTTGGCTTGCTAAGGACAACTGGCAGGTATTTGGGTGAGGTGCTGGTATCTGAGAAAATGAGTGCAAACACCCAATGGCTTAGCCAGTAACCTATCGCAAGCTAATCTGTTATGATTCCCTGAGGTCTGATGTGTTAGTGGACATTCTGCAAGATCCTATATACTTATTACTGTAGCAATGTGATAGAAGTTCTAGCTCTATATCTAACAGATGTATTGAGAAAGTATTATGGCACCGGCTCAGAATCGGTACAGGGTTTTTCCAAAAATGAAAGATGCAAGCAGCATAGCAACGAAATGTGAATCGGATCAGCAAAAGAAAAGATCAATGGCCATAGCTTTAGCCGTAAAACAACCTGGAATGCCGAATGGTAGGTCGCACTCTGTATCTTGAACTGAGATGCAGAAGGGGCCGAGTTGGCACGCATATTGAAGTATAGTAGGTGTATCTAGCCGAATCGTGCGAATCCCTAGATATTACCTACCTCCCTAATTACTTACCTAGCACTGAAGATTCGATAGGTCAGTATATATTGGAAGCATAGTAGGAGTATGCGTCTTTATATCTTTATTCAATATTCCGAGAAACGTTTTATAATCGCTATCGTGTACTCTAGTACTTTTGTGATAGTCTCTTCTCTGTGCTCGGTACCCCCTACTCTTTAGTGAAGGATATCGGACCAAGTAGTACCCCGTGTTGATTCCATTCATTTTTGAAGCCTTAGAGTATATGTGTGTAACAAAAACATGACCAGAAGTGCCTTCGGGACAAAGATATACGGCATGTGCGTATGGTAGTGTGAGCACAATCTCTGTAGGTAGGTACCTAGGTAGACATGTACTCAGTACTTTGAGATGCACCACAAAGACTAGGATTTTTAGGTAATGATTCACAAAAGAGTTCAACAACCAGTATCAAATGGATGATGTACTTGTTGTTGGTGCGGCAGAGTAGTAAGTAGCTGCATCAAAAACTTGGTATCACTCAAATAAAGATTGATATCTCATTATTGAGCATGAGTAAAGCGTACCTACATTGCCCATTGCCCATTGTCCGGTATATTTGCTGTTCGATCCTCAAAACTGTCCAATTGTGGCTGGAACTATTATTAATATCCATCCATCTTGCGAATTCATTTATGTTTGGGTTTGGGTTAATATGCAGCTCAAGATGTTGAGGTGTTTCACAATTATGATAGGCTGACGCTAACCGTACTAACAATAGTGACTTTTGGAATCTGATTACTAATACGCGAGGCTGTCAAGAAATCAATCTTTCTGGACATCACCAGGTCGCTTCTTTGAAATCATCACTCTCTGTGCACCCACACTCAAGTTGAGGTTCGGATATTGATCCATATAATGTGAATTTCATCTTTCAATCACAATACATATCGTACTGTCCAGGTAATTCAAGGCACATATTAGCTTTCTATCTAATAAAACAAGGCTCAACACGTATATTGAGCTCCACCAGATTCGCACTCACCTACATAAATCGTCTGCTTTGCTCCCTCCGGCAGATCACATTGCGAAATCATTCAATCAGCAACGGAAAGCCCAGTTCTCGGCCGACCCATAAGATACCGAACATGGCTGAAATACTCCAGCAGAAACCTAGTGCTTTCGCGGCACAGGCTTCAGCTTCTGTAGCCCAGCAAATTCTAGATCACAAAGCCCCAGCATACAAGTTTTCATTCACACCATTTCTGTTTAACAACTATCGCATGGGTATTTCGCCCGATCGGCCTACGTGTAAAGCATATCTTCAAGGACACTGTCCACTCGGGACTAATTGCCCGGATAAGCATGCTACCAATCCCAATAACTCGTGGAATTTCAACAATATGGTTTGCAAACATTGGCTAAGGGGCCTCTGCAAAAAAGGTGAAACATGCGAGTTTCTTCACGAGTTCAACTTGAGGAAGATGCCGGAATGCAACTTCTTTGTAAAGAATGGGTATTGCTCTAATGGAGGTACGTTTGTACAGCTATCTGATGCTTCAAGAATTACACTAACCAGTCTAGATGAGTGTCTTTATTTACACGTTGATCCCGCATCGAAAATGGGAAATTGCCCGCATTACGATAAGGGGTTTTGTCCGCTGGGTCCCAGGTGCTCCAAAAAGCATATTCGCAAAGCACTCTGCGAATTTTACCTAGCAGGATTTTGTCCAGATGGACCCAAATGTAAAAAGGCGCATCCCAGATGGCCTTCTGACTTACCAAAGCCAACTATCAAGGTCGAGAGGGATCCAGAAGAAGTTGCCGAAGAACAAGCGAGAATTAGAGAGAATGCAGAGAGAGAAGCGGACAGGGAAAGAGGATTTGGAGAAGGTCGACCTAGACCGAGATGGAGGGGTGGATTTAGCTATCGTGGAAGGGGTGGTGGAGGCGAAAGGGGCCAACGAGGGCGCGGACATTAAGGATACGGGATGCGAAACCAAAACTCAATTATTATGCAATTCATGAGGGGAACCCTGATGATGATGGACTACAACTACGGGATCTTGAGCTATTCTCCACCAGGACAAATCACTATCGACTTACACGTTGTGGGTTACACAGGCCTTCCACTCCATACCCATCAAAATTATATCGATTTCGTTGGTCGTCTCACCGCTACTAACAAAGAAAACGGGTCTGTCATGCAAGGCAAGCCCCATCCTTCCCGCAACACATGCAAGAAAGCCATCTTCATCACAACAAGGCTGAGACACGACTAAAAAGCTAGATTATATCAGCCACTTTATGAACAGGGTATTGAGCGACTCGACCAATAGACCAAGCTGCGTCATGCAAACATTCCCAAAAGCGGAAAAGCTCTCAATGGCATAGTGTCGATCAGTTCCTTTCTTGTCATTCGTAGTCCTACATGGGATGATTATCTCAACCATATCAGTCTGGAACATCGTGACATTCCCAGGCACGGGAACGGCGTGGCTTGGGACATAACGAATATCAAGCCTATTTTATGCCGAATTTAGACTTACCAATAGTGCAATGCAAATTATATTCAATGAATTAAGAACTAGCATGGATTTTTGTAGTACTATTGAAGAGGAGCTTGCGGTGGAAAAGATAAAGTGCACTCCAAAATGAAATTATGCCTTTGAACATCTGTCCCATTTAATAAATATGAACACTGAATGTCTGAAAACGGTGGAATTTAAAGGATCATTAAATCATTGTTATATTCGACTGGGGTCTGTTTTCTTCATCCACTTTGTAAGAATCAATGTTTACAAGTGGAGATGTTTGCGCCTATCCAAATCCCATATCCCCAAAACGCCGTGTCTCACATTCCAAGATTTCAACGATGCAAACTAAAAACAACCATATGATCCAATCCACCCATCAGATCCCATAGCATGTCCGATATACCTTCTCAGAACGTCCCATGGCCTAATTTCCCTGCTGACTCGTAACCGAAATGTAGTCACTTCCGGCTAAGCCAGCTCCCCCGCTCATCTCGCTACTATCGGGTGTGAAAGGTCTGCCCTCAAAGCTCGATGTACTAGAACTTACAGGTATACTCGCGTTAGAAACTTCGTCAGCGGGTTCCGGCTTGAACTTCTTAACTCCCATTATCCACCCCACCAATCCCCGAGGCACCCATGCTCCAATGAATCCATACACGCTGCTTCCCATACCCACTCGAATGATTCCACCATTCTTCCTTTCCATCGCGTCGAAAACCGCATTGTTTAACTCTCGGAGGCTACTGCCTTTTCCGTAGCCTCCACCTTGTGATCCACAACCCATTGCTGCCCCTATGTTTGACCGGTTTACGGCAGCATAATTGCGTGAATATACGTGTCGGGATGGTGGATCCCAATCTGAGTTAGGAGGAGACCGACCGCGGTATGATTGAAGTTGATTTTTAGGTACAAAGAAAGAGAAATCAAAAGTTCCAAGCTGGAGGTTAATCACGGGGATGGAAAGAGGGGAAAGCTCGGATGTAAGAACTTGGGTAAATGTTTTGAGGAAGGATGTGGTGGAGGACTCGGGAGCGTGGAATGCAGGTGAGAGAGACGGTATTATGTTAGGAGTCAAGACGAGAACGGAAGGCTTTGGAAAGTTCTCGCTATGAGTGCCCTGAAATGGTGACTCTGTAAGAAGAGGAAGAAAGTTTTGAAGGGTGAGAATAGGGTTCAATAGACGAGTATTGAGGAGATCCGATAATATCGACGCCGATAGAGTGGCGATCGGAGAAGATGGATAAGCAAGTGAAGGAATAAGAACAAGAGATCTGAATATCAAGTGATGGGTTTTACCACCTTGAAAAGGGGAATGTGGTGCTCGTAAATGCGCCGTAAATCTGTCGATTGCAGCAGAGGCACTTGATGGCTGTAATAATATTAGTTTACATAACTCAGTTCACAAATATTAAACTCACATCAACGATATCAATCATCAAAGGTTTGATATCTTGCCTAGATTCATTTTGTACCAGGACTTCTTCCTCAATTGTATTGCATACGACATAGACAATGAATCCTCGGCGCTCCAAATCCAAGGCAATCGACCTAGTTATTGGTTCTGATGGGGATCCTGCAATAACCACAACTTCTTGTCTTGCTCCAGTTGCTGCCCGCTTAGCTCTGCGTTTTTTGCGGTAGTTTGACTTCTTTCTAATGACATAATATGTCACTCCACCCATTACTACGATAATAGCTCCTGCGAGGAGCTTGTTCTTTGATATCCATTGTTCGATCCGGGTATATACTGATTGAGATGCCGCGATAGTCTGAGTTGACGGCGGTGGTTTGGGTCGCGCAGATGGGGGGATCCATTCTGCAGAGGAGAGAGACACTCTTATTGATGTAGCTACCTTATCAATATGTCTTTCGATATAATCTGCAACGTCATTGCTGTACTTCTTGATATCGTTCGGTACGGAGGACAACTGTCAGAACATGCCATCAGCAGCTATAAACCTTGGATGGAACAGGATACTTACAGTGTCAAAGAACACTTGATCGTCTGCAGACATTTTGAATAACTTTCTGATGAAATTTACTCTCAAGTGGCTTGTTGATATTTGATCAAGAAACTTGCTTGAAGTGTGGGGAAGGAAAGCTCGGCCGGCATCATTTATCTTCAGCCTTGTGAGCCTTATCTTATCGACAAGCAAAATCTAGCGACCCACTTAAATTCCCGTAATCGAAATGCGGGACAAGTACGATATCGTACATGTGAATATGTTGGCGCGTCAGCCTTGTGTTTGCCTGCTTGATTACAATTCCGATACAACATTATACCTGGGTACCTTCTATTACCAAGAAAGTCTTCCTTCTAGTAGTTTCTAGGACCGTTCATTAAGGTTTATACAACGACAAAACGTTCTATCTCCATCTTAGAGCAATCCTGAACGGATCTATGCATATTCTTCCACAACCAAAGGAATACTTGACTCACTCATCATCGTTTTGCTAGCTTCTTCCTCAAAATGTCTACTAATACAGAACGCGATGCACTTATATCTTCATATTCTCACTTAAAAGGAATGAAACGGGAAGCTGAAGCACTTAATTCTCTCAAGAAAATTGCGTCGTTAGTCAAACCTATTATGAGAGCACGTCATTGGCGCGTAGGTACTTTAACAGAATTCTACCCAGACCAGCAAAATCTACTAGGTATGCTAATTTACTCGCATGATTTGTAGCGGTAGAAGAACTCACTTTGGGAAATAGGTCTTAATGTAAATAGAGGGCAGAAAATATGTCTACGGTTGAGATATCCTGGAGATCAAAATCAATTTCTGCCGATAGAACAGGTGGTGGATACAATGCTTCATGAATTATGCCACAACGAGATCGGACCTCACAATCAAGAATTTCATGCTTTATGGGATCAACTACGGAAGGAACATGAAGGTCTGATAGACAAAGGATATACTGGAGAAGGTTTCCTGTCAGAAGGAAAGAGTTTGGGTGGACGCAGAGTACCACGACACGAAGCAAGACGTCTAGCCCGCATAGCTGCAGAGAAACGACGGAACTCTCTCAAAGGATCGGATCAGAAGCTGGGAGGTCGGCCAGTGCCATATGGTACCGATATTCGGAAGGTTATCGTAGATGCGATCGAGCGCCGAAACAAAGTGCTTAAAGGTTGTGGAGAGAGCAGGATGAATCCTATCGAGATCAGAGACTTGACCGATGAAGCTACACACAATGGATTCAAAACCGTAGCAGAAGAAGATTTAGCAAACGAGGCAGCAATTGCTCAAGCTATGTGGGAGCTTGTTCAAGAAGATCAGAAGATGGAGTTTGGAGACCTTTATATTCCTCCTTCTGTCCAAAACCCTGCGGGAACTAGCGGTGGTAATGTTGGGGGGCGGGCATTGGATGAAAATTCCAAGTCTTCGTCTGAACAACCTTTAGCTAGACGACCTGCAACTTCGACTTTGACCTCGGCCGGCTTGGAAACATCTCGACAGCCTTTGGGCCATGTCAGTCGTCTAGTGCTCGAAAATTCGAACAAGTCAAAATCGTCGCCAAAACCAAAAGATCCTCAAAACGAACCAGCACAAGGACCAGTATACTCCGCACCTACCTTGACAGGATGGACATGTACTATATGTACACTTCACAACCCGATCGACTTTTTGTGCTGCGATGCCTGTACTACTGAGAGGCCAGAAAGCATTACGAAACAGATTGATCGAAATTCTCTGAGAAAAGCCGCAGCTAGACCTCTTCCGCCCCAACCACAAATGTGGACTTGTCGATGGTGCAGCACCAAAATGGAAAATCAATGGTGGACTTGCTCTACTTGCGGGAAAATGAAAGAAAGTTCATGAGATAATGAAACTGTTCAATAGGCGTCCACGAGAAATGTAGCTATGATAATACTGGAGTACGTGAAATTTTGGGCGGGAACGGGAATTTAGGCGGGGCATAAATCTGTGGAGTTCTTTGATGGCCATAGCTAGAGCAGCACGGTTAAAACTTACGGAACGAATTTATCATAATCGAGGTTCCGCACCAGCCGATTGATGTGCCTTCCAAGTAGATATTTGATTACAAATCTTGTGGTTCAAGTTGTCACACAAAGTCCGAATCCTAACGATGAAAATTCGGCTTTTATAATTCCCCTTTTCGTGACTCGCGTAAAGCTACCCGCCGTGATCGGAGGCGGTGATGTCAATTACAGTGGTCAACCCTGCCACGATTGTTATGCTTTGGCACATTTAAAAGAACAACGCCAATTTGAATTCCTTCAAGTCTAATCAATAAACGATATCAAGCTCAATACAATATGACTACCGCCGCCAAGCTTCGAGCTCTTTTAGCCAATGAGAATGAAGTAGTTGTTTGCCCAGGCGTATACGATGGCTTCACAACGCGTCTTGCACTCAATGCAGGATTTAAAACATTATACATGGTATTTCTCGACCAATTCAACGTTGCTCTCACTTCATTCCTCAAAATAGTAATTGACAATGAGAAAAATAGACAGGTGCCGGCACAACTATGTCTTGCCTTGGTATTGCAGATTTAGGGGTCGCCACCATGAATGACATGCGAGATAATGCATCCATGATCGCCAACATCGACCCTACCATCCCATTGATCGCAGATGCAGACACCGGCTATGGAGGTTAGTAAACCAACGATTTCTTCCTTGTTCGATCAAGCGATGCGAGTATCTACAAAATCTATCATATGATATTAACGATTGCTAGGTCCCCTTATGGTATCTCGTACCGTCGCTTCATACATTTCCGCAGGCGTAGCCGCCATGCACATTGAAGACCAAGTCGTCAACAAACGTTGCGGTCACCTCCGCAATAAGGAACTCGTTCCACTTCCAGAATTCGTCTCGAGAATTCGGGCAGCAGCTCTCAAACGCGATGATTTGGGAAGAGATATTGTGATTATTGCGCGAACTGACGCATTAGCCGATTATGGTTATGAAGAGGCTGTTTTGCGCTTGCATGCGGCAGTGGATGCGGGTGCAGATGTGGTCTTCTTGGAAGGGGTCAGAAATGTAGAGGAAGCGAAGAGGGTATGTGAAGAATTTGGAAATAATAGGGTACCGTGTTTATACAATTGTGTACCTGGTGGTGTGAGTCCCGTGTTAAGTGTCAAAGAAGCCAGGGAATGTGGATATAAATTGGTTATCACGCCTACATTAGCATTAGGAGCCGTTTTTGAGAGTGTAGGAAAGGCATACAAAGAATTGTTGGAGGATGGGAACACGAAGGGTAATGGAGTGGCAGTGAGAGATCTCTTTGATAGTTGTGGGTTGAAAGAGGCTACTGAGTTTGATGTCAAAGCTGGAGGGAAATTGTATCAAAATGGTATTTGAAGACTGGTAATCTTGGTGTAGAATTTTGGGAAAGAAGGGAATGTATATTAGACTGGGAATGGAGTTGGCACTGAAAGCGGAGTTTCACATATTGACATCGCACTAGTGGCGCGGGAGTACAGCAACTTTCAAATGATCATATATTTCGGAATGTCGCATCTCCTCATCTGTATTCTAAGCGATCCTGCAATATCTTGATAATCTTTTAGATCGCCGCTGCTCTCAATGTTCGATCGTCTTGGAGTTCAGGGCTAGCTCCAACAATATTTAAAGGTTCGCAGAAAAACGGCTGCGTGTAAAAGTACCCACGATACAGAGAGATCTTGAATGAAAGATTCCTGAGAGGTGTTCCATGAATACAATGCAGAATTGACCAAGTCTCAATGGCTTCAAGCAAGAGGGTGGTAATTGTTTATTGAGAAGTCTCTGAAACTTTCGAGACTTTCTAGGAAAAGCGGGTATGGATATTGCATCAGAGAACGACATCCTTCAAAGACACATGAGTAAATACAAATAGAACCACATACAGATGAAGGCAAGAAAAATATCATTAATTGAAAGAGCTCATTAAGAGTTGATATATATTGATTATGAACTTTAGCGTTTTGAATGATAAGTCGGACTACGATCCTTTTGACTTTTGAGTCCCGAAGAATTTTCCCCAAGAACATAAAAATAAAATATTATAATTAGGATCCCCCTATACAAAGCTGTCTTACAGTATATACGAAACAATTTTTATGGATTGCTGGAAGTTCTGGGGAAATTCGATGGCTTTGTTGTCTTCCTCTGTATGAACAGTCGCTTTTCCCAAATCCGTTATGAATCATTATCATTTTTGGGGGGGAAGATTCGAAATCTTACCTATGCTAAATTAATACAGAGCGCTTGCTCATCCTATCGCGGAGACTACTCCATACATCACCTAAATCTCAAGTACAGGAAATCAATTAAAAGTACAGGCCCACGCAGCGCATGTACCTATCTAAAATATTCCTCAGATAAGTTGCGACAACTCCTCTCTTACGGCTTGAATATCCATTCGTGCCGTTGGTAGTAACTCTAGCATCCCAGTGATTATCCACAGGACATACTCCTGGGAGTATGTGCTTTTCGAGCAAAGTCGCCGTAGTGTCTTCATAAAGTGTTCGGATTCCGTCGAGATTCTGCAGGAGCAGTTTGGATCATCGTTTTCAAAGCTTCCCCATAAGTCCCATGACCCTCGGGATCCTTCACTAAGGATTACCAACAAGAACGCAAAGCAACAGCCCATCTGCCAGACATCCGCCTTAAGACTACTGTCTGTGTGGTTGACTTGTTCGGGCGCAAGATAACGATACGTGCTCTTGGAATAGTTCGTGGTTCCACCTTGCCTAAAGACTTTGCTCTCACCAAGATCTGCAATTATCGGCCGGATCCCTTTAGTACTATCATGATAAAGCAGGATGTTATCAGGCTTTATATCCTTATGCTTAATCGAATGTCCATGGAGGTAATCAAGACCATCCGCTAGCCCTTTCAACACCATCAGTATCTTTGTTTCTTTCATTATTGATGCGAACCATGGACACGATTTTCGTCTCTGATTGTCCGTCTCATGGATAAACATATCCAGCGTATATGGCGCCCAGGGTTGAGTAACCAGATAATAGGTATGTGGGTTGTCGTGTACTTGGTAGGCATCCATTAAGGTGAGCAGGTTTGGATGGTTGCACCTAGCCAGTAGTCCCAACTCCTTCAATATCTCACTCCGCTGCTTTGAGGAGTATACCTTTTTAAACATCTTTACAGCGAAGGCAGTGTTGTTTGTTGTATTCACTGCTTTGTAGACGATACCAAAGCTTCCCTCGGCCTGAGGGATATCAAGGTCCACTTCATACGGCACCTTCTCCGCTTCCGTGAATACGTGAACATAGATCCGGTCATGGTGATCATTACAAATCTTTACAATCTTCTCCATATTGTTCCTTTAGATTCATTAGCATCTGCATGTTAAGGCTTTTGAAGGTAACTTACATAGAGGCGTGATAAGAATCTCGAAACCTTTGATATGCATCCTCCACCTCGCAATCTTGTACAATTCGAACTTTTCTTAGTTTCACAAGTTGTTCCTTGGCATCACTGATCAAGGTTGGAAGGAAGAGGCTTTCGGTCAGCTCCTCCACTCGTGCCATCTTCGTTTTCATGAATGGCGTTTCTTCTTGTAGAGATCCCTTTTGGAATCGATTGGCTACGGGTGCTCGATTCCCGTTCATATATGAGTATGACCCTTGATCAAGAATGGCGATTGAGTCAAGTAGTGACATAACATGCGTTATTTCGCTTCTACATTCCTGCGACAAATCTTCTAGATCAAGCGCTAGATCTTGTGACGAATTCCTTGTCTCAGCCCGGGCGAGGCAATGTTTGAGTGAAGAGCGACCCTCATGTTCCAGAGCAGTGGCCGTTAAATACTGTTGATATTTCTCATTCAACAGCTTACATAAACGTGCTAAATATCGGACTGAGATACGCAGTACGGGATCTTCATACTTTGAGGTTCGAAAAAGAAGTCTTCGGCAGATTGAATCGAGGTCCTTGAACACAGAAGAGTCTGATAACGACATTGAAATACTTTGAGAAAGCGAACTTCGAAGATGAGTCAAAGGGATGAATTGATTTCGCGCACCATTAAAAATACTAGGAAAAGGAAAGTATTTATACAGATACTTGAATACTCGTTGCGTTTTCCATTCCTTGTTGAAGGTAAATTGCCGGCTGGTTTATTTATCAACAAATTGCTAGCAAACGTACACCCATTCAAGATGAATACAATAGAGGATGCCATAAAACCGGCGAGCCAAATTTTCCTCTGTTTCATATTCACGATTTTCATGCATATCATGCAGTCACTTAGTACTCCAATGAGTACGCGATTTACTTAAATCAATGACATGTCCAATGACAACAAAAACATACTTATCACTAGGTATGCCCTGACAGCTTCTAGAACACAATAGAAACAAGATGCTAGCACAATCTCGGAACCCTCATTGGAGGTGGTATTGGCGCTGAGATTCGAGTTCGTATCTACAAGGTTCACAAATGAGTGTTTACCACGCGTGTGCACGTATCTGCTAATTTCGGTACAGCCATACCAAACTTCGGACCAAAGTTCCGTTCCGACGGAAGCTTGGGTTGTTAACCTTTGGTCTCTCTGGGAAGAGGATAGCTCAAAGGCAACCAGGTCGCAAAATGAAATGATCAAGGGCCCATGCAACGAAACAACTCCAAATTGGGCACTACACGATTGTTAGCTCAGTCAATCTGTCTGATTGCGGGTCAGTAAACAGTGAGCATCCAACGTCGATAGTGAATCTCATCCATCCATCTCAAAAATAGGGAGGTAAGCCGCCGATCCAAGTTGTGTGATCTTTTGAAAGATCATACATTCAAAAGATCATACAACTCTTTTTGTTCATCGCGCAGTCTAGTCAATTGATGACAACACACAGGTATCAAGTCGCGATCCATAAATGCTCGAGAGTAAATTTCCAGTGCAAGTAGTTCATCAAAAAGTGCGCACTTGAAAGCTTTTGAAATAAACCGTTCAAACCAAAGAAGGTGTGCCACCTCCATTTCGATGTTGTGTAAACATCCCAAGCCGCTAAAATTCATATTTGCTCCATATAACCCATCACAATCCTTGGAAAGTCTCGGCTATCCACGCTCCACCCCTTCATCACATAAGACATCACAACACTTCTCAAAATTCCGTATCAAATCAACCAATCAAAATTTCGAGGTAGTGGTTGAATACAACATCTTATGATCTTTGAATTTATTGATTTATCTATATTCCTTAAAGTAAGTCGTGTTGACTTCCCATCTAATACCGATGCCCTGTCAATATACAGATACTAGGTAGTGTTTTCAATCTTTCAGTAGATTTGAATGATTGGGCGTATGGCTTCTCGTTTTTCCCGGGGTATGATCATCTTCCTAGTAGATTCATTTCCTCCAAAAGCAATTCTTACTAGCCCGCAAACTTATTGCTGACGTTCATCGGAAGCTTTTCTCCAGCCACTTTTATCACATAGTAATTACCATAGCTTAGCTCTTTAATCAATCTGTTCATAAATGGAAGCCTCAATATGATAAGTTTCGGAAGTAAGAGTTTAGGCCCCGGCTTATCGCACACTAAGCGAAAACACAGCAAAAACCTTCATTTATTCAACTTTTTAACTATATAAAATTTCAATAAATATATGACTTGAATTACTCAAATTAAAGAATATAGAAAATAATTATTGAAATTATTTAAAAAAAATGAATAGATTATTTTTAATATTTTTTTTTGGAAAGAGTTGTAGGGTTTCAAAGTTAGAATTTCCAAAATTTTCAAAAAAATTGATTTTTTTTGTATGGGAAAAGCATTACATATGATAAATTTTGAAAATTTTCAATTTTGAAATATTACAATTCTTTCCTAAAAAAATATATCAAAAATAATCTACTTTATTTTTAAGATTATATATATAACAATCTTTTATATATATAAATTTGAAATTATTATTTCAATTATTAAATAAATTATTAGAGAAATTAGTTTATATAAGAAAACGACTTTTTTGCAGGGATTTTGTCACGAAATCAGATGGTGTGCGATAAGCCGGGGCCTAAACTCTTACGTCCGAGAATAGATGATAAAGTTTGTTTTGGTAAAATATGACGTGGATGCGTATGCCTTGGGTTCATGGTGATTGTAGGACGCGCATGTGCATGCATGTGATGATATCCATTGTCGTGGGATGGTGGGGTGTACGAATTAAAAGGAATTACTCGTACTTCGTAGTTATCACTTCATATTTGTAAAAGTGGAGGACAAAAGGAAACAACATAAGCTGGTAAGGTCGAGGTGGAGATGAGTGGGGGGCAGGTTGAGGCACAGATTTGATTTGGCATGCACATGTTTGTGAAATCTGCGAGGATGGGTAGAGCGGTAGAATATGCAGTGCGACTGGTGTCTAGATTCCAGTAGATGATGATGTTACACGACAGATATAAGGTTTTCAAGGTGCTGATCTGATGCGATCCCATTTGATATTGCGCAGGCTATCTATCGTATAGCAAAAGAAAGAAAAAAAATCGTATACTATGCTACAGCGCGGGAAAGAAATGTAGTGATATCAATCTATATAATTTCGACGCGCGTGGAAGAGAACCCTCAGATCAACATATACCTGGCCAGATCTGTCAAGATAACCCATGTAAAGAAACTCCAAACTGCAGTACTCCTGTCAGCGCCATAGCATCTACGAGCCATTTATATCCCTCGTATCCTAATCGTCCAGCCTTTTGCAGTCATTAACACATCGCAATCGCTAATCGCCAATCGCCCGTCGCCAGCCATAACATGTAAAACAATCGCAGATGAAACAGCGAATGAAAGAAAACTCCGTGGCCCATTACCGTAACCCATTTTTATATAGTCCCAAATAAATCAAATAAAAATAACGAATCAAAACGAAACAAAGCACTTTTATCCAATCCCCCATTCACAGCACGTATAGAATTCTCTTAAAGCTATAGAACTCTCAAGCGGATATTTCCGATTCTCTTCCACCATCTTCCGTAGCTCTCTTGGGCTTTCCGAATCGAAGATTTCTCAATGATGGATAGTCTTGAAGATCGAGCGAGTAGAATCCGATGCATGTTGAGTATTAGGAATGGCACCTAAACCTTCCAAGACTGGCTTTGATGGAATGAGGGGGATGGGGTAAGAATTCTCGAATGTCAGTGCAGTAGTGGTTGTGTTGAGCATGGTGGCATAATTTGAGATAGTTGCAGTTGGTCCTATGTTGGAAAGAGGAGGGGGGTGCTATTGTTTGCAACTCTCGAGTACTGGTTGCGAGCTGATTGCAGATATGATAGAGTAATCATCATCGCTTTCCTAAATAAAGAAGAGCCAATTAGCTTTGGGAACGGCAAGTCAATCTTCTGGGAAATACGAACGTGGAGTGAGTAAATTCCAATTTGAGAGATAAGAGTGAAGTGTGTGCGAACTGAGAACAAACTGTTAGTAAACGAACTGGAAAAGAAAGTTCAGATGATGCACGCACGTGACGTTTATCTTATGATGATGAAGCAAATTGACAATTTCCTCCTCGGACTTTTTGTCCATGATAAAGAGTTCTGTAATCCAATATCTATGTAAGTCGAGGAGTTGCTCAACAGTGAACTCGATAGTTTGAGTCTCCATCTTAGCTCTGTATCGAATTGTTGGTTGATGACTTGATTGATAGTAGTTATGAAGTTTTAGTGTCAAAAGCTATGAGGGTCGGGGGATGCAATGGATATAAAGCTTCGGGTGGCAAGTCCATATTAATATGCAAAGAGCCCTTGAACACCGGATAGACGAGAAGCGGAGATGGCAACTTCCCGGTAAGACACAGGCAAGGCAAGCCTACAAGGCAAAACAGTCTCTTGCTTAATGCCACATCAAGGAATAAGCGATGAATAACAGGGCGGAACATGTTAAATCCTGGTCAAATAGCAGAATCGAGAAAAGTGATTACCCGCTTAGGCACCCACCAATCAATATGAACACCGGTTGACGAAACTGGTGTGGCTTGCATATACGTGGAGTTAGGTTGAGGGGAGGAATAGTTCGGATGATGTTACGAGAAATAGCATGGTCGCCCTGAAGACTACCCAAAACCTTGCAGATAGATACATATACCATATCCATGGTGTCGGGTACCTTGAAGACCCAAATAGTGGATCAGTTCGCGGCAGATGGCGTATTTGGTTGGAATCATAGATTCCGGATCGAATTAAAATCAAGCAGTCGTTTGAAGGCAGTTCGGGGAGTAGGGGTAGCGTTCACAGAAGCGGTGAAGAGGCTTAATTGAAAGAGATGCAATTGACTTTGAGAAGTTTGTATTTACCTTTTTGCTCGCCCGGTAGATCTTCTAACTTCCCCGCTTGTAGCGGCAGAGAAGATTGGAAGCCGGGCAGGGATAGCAGGTCAAGGTATAAGTACAAGAAAATGATGGAGTGAAATGGGGTTGTCTTTAATATATCGTTCGGATATTTCTTTATGTGGCTGAGTTGAGAGATATATCTAGGTTTTGAAGAATATGGACTAGGAATGTATTGAGCTTTAACGGCCTTGGCTATCAGCCACAAAAGATAAAAAGGGGCAAGCAGTGGGAAACTCATCACTCAGAATTGACAAGCATTTGAGCTAGGGTTTATAATACCTAATCGTATCTGAGAGAAACCGTTTGTCGTTAAACTTTTCTTTAAGCTTTCGAATCGGCTATTCCGCTTAAAGTTTGAGTTTGGGTGTATTGACCACTCAATCGAAATTTGCTAGATGGTTCAGGTCACGAGTGGTGAATGAGGCAAATGGGTCACTACCGGGTCTTTCGGGTTAATTTCCGATAACGAGCCCCAGTCCTGTTACAGGTAGAGAGACCTTATGGTTACTATGGTAGCTGTCTCTGTATCTGTTCCCGGTCTGCTGTAAGACTCCTTCCATGTCTTGGAACTAGAACGGATCAGCTCTTTGTCAGCTAACGTCGTATGCAGTAAACATCCCAATAAAGAAGTAAGTCCGAAAATTTAGCATGTAGGGTTTAGTTTATATCAAATCACATCGATGCCGGTAGTCAAGCGTTCAGCTCTAACCCCACAGCCCACCAATCAACAACCTGTTGTAATCTTTTAGTTTACTACAATTCTTCTTTTGGATATCGCAGACCCAGGTTCAACAACATTAGAACGAGTGATATTTGTCACGAAAGGAGAATAAATCGGCTGATCTTTAAGAACCTCATCACCTTATGAAGGTCTGTGCCAATCATACCAAGCATTCAGCCTATTGAAACGGTTATCAAAGCGCTTCAGTATGTAATAATGGATGTGACAATACAAATAAAACTGCTGTGCGGAGTTGCTACACCTCATACTTTTTCGGATCGGATGTGAAATTCGTGTGGCATCCGATGCAACCCTAATAATTGACCCGACTTACAATTTGAGTATGGATCAGCAGATTCAATCGTCTCTAACGGCCACCTGCATTTGAGGGCATTGAACTCATGCAGCTGCGGGTGAATGCATTGCTGAGTAGACGTTTGAGAAGCTGACCATGTGGAAAACACATGTCAGCAAGGACTGGAAATTTCTAATGACTGCAAACAAATACAGATTTGAGTTTGTGAAACTTACCTGACCATATCGAACCACTTTTAAATGTCTAAGATAAAGTCGCAACATTCCGGCTTCCCCGAATATACTTTTGTCTAACTTTTGAATATACACGCCCTATGCGCCAGAAATCCAGGGTAAGTCTCGCTTAATGGTCTCCCATGTTAATGTCAAATATGCTAAGACAAGTTGCTGTTCATATTGCAGATCATCATCATTAGACGGGAAATCAGACCAGCTATCATCTGAAACAAGAACTCAGTATGTGAGGATATGCCCTATCCTTCCCGTGTGATCCTTTGCTATTTCGGGAATTATATAGCGAGTCTGATTGTGATCAGCCTCGGTAGATACCTTCGAGTCAAGGTACCTTAGATACCTCTGAGGTATGTGCACGCCTCGACCACTCTGATTCATCTCACTACGAGTATCCGGAATTCCGAGTAATCTAGTAAGGTTGACATTGACCAAAGGTAGGGGCTATCGGTTTGTGCCTTTGTTTTTGAGAATGGATTGCTGGGTAGGTAGGACACATGCGATATGGTAAGGTTACATCTTGCTTGGCTGTCTGCTCGCCTGTAAACTTTGAATCGACAAGGTGAATTACCGAAGAATACCAACGACGGTAGTTATCTGGTCATAAGTCTGCAAAGCCCTGCCCTGGGCTCTGCTCTCTCGTTCGAGTATTCTCGATCATTCGCTTTTTAACAGGTATACCTTGTTGATTTTGATTGGATTACATTTAAATTATTCGTCAAAGGGTAATATATGGAGTACATGTATCTGAAAAGGGCATTGTTCGTAAAGTAAAGGTTGAGAAGAGTTAGTCGAAAAGATCATAGGATTTTTCCATAATCCTTCCATAATCCCTTCAACCTTTTTGCATCACGCCAATCATATAATTTATATCACTACCGTATCGGACAACCTGCAGCGGGAGGAGCCTGCCGATATTGTTATTCTCAATGTTTCTAACCTAAATAAGAAAGAGGGTATACTCGATTATAGCTTTTTTACTTTGGGGAATGCCTCTTCCCAGTTTATAGTTTGTCACTTTCTTTTTAGTAATTGAAGAAGCAGGGTACATTGGACTAGAGATTTCAATGCAAAGCGTCTAGGATATAGGGGTTGGATGACGTCGATAAGTCTCGCAATACGCATGTTTCCGTTCGTAGACACCTCCTTCAGCCCCTTATACCGGAGATTCCCTTTCGAGGATTTATCCGACATCGAACAATCACAAATATATATATCAAGCGGTCAGAAAAGAAGAGGTACATTGCCTATCGTTGATCGAAAAAGAAGTCACATGCCTCACTCTTTGCATTCAGGTCACATTCAAGGCACAGTCACATCCAAATGTGATGCCCTCCTCCGCGTCATCCCTGACTATCACGCGATCGCCTTCAATATGCAGGAAAAAGATGTGTTGTCGAAAAGAGTTCGGGGTATTCAATTGGCACTGGTGCTTTTTTCATCTTCGCGCTCGTTGTGCAGAACGCTTTTGAGCCATTAGGGCGTCAATCTCGCCCATCATTGCACTGCATTAGCTTGCTGTATGGAAGATAATGATATCGTGCTGTGGTACAATTATATCATCCAACCGGAATTAAAGCCATTTGCTCTAACCATTGACCTCAGATACCGCAGGGCAGATTACTGAGGTAGCAATTGTCAAGGGACATAAATATATCATTTCGCATCACGGTACCTGGATGTCGGCAGTGAGCCAATGGTATGACCGCCTCCCGGAAATGTCCCCCGGTTTCGCGAACTTCATGCACGTACTGGGAATTCATTGGGTCGGATCTATCTACTAGGAAATTAACTTCGTTGCAAACGCGAAATATGTTGAGCATATCCGACTTATATCATAGGCAAGAAGCCTAGTTACTATTGAAGTTTCTCTCACTCAAACTAAGGATCAACAATCATATTCTTATTTACACCAAGGTCTAAAATTAGAGTCACCACGGGGAAAATCCACATTGGCGCCTCTTTGGTGCATATTCTTTGCGTGCTCGATGATGTGTGGATGTCCCGATGCTTGCGCATGACGAGAAGCAGTACATCCCGGTCTTCAGTGCTTCCTCGTCTCCCTTTTGATATTTTCGAACATCGATTCAAGCATCCTTGCATAAACTAACAGAGATCGAAGCACCTAGCTATCTGTTGCACAACATAAGTATCCGCACTCCGGTCGCTGGGGAACCTGACATCTCATCTCACACAATTGGGCCAACATCAAAGAAATATACAAATCGATTCTCTTACATGAGATATTAGGCTCTTCCCTGATCATATTCTAGCCTTATCTCAGTTGTGGCTCCAGTTTGCGTTCGCAGCCTAATGTCTCGTATTCCACCGGGGACTCCCAAAATGTTTCCGGTGTAGCACTAAGAAACGGATCAGAGATTATTTCCTAGTCTGACTGTGTTCGCGGGCCACTTTGTGAACAGAAATAAGCATGTGCTCCGATGGACGACAGTGTTTGAGTGGTGGTTGTGCAATCATTGGTGTCGCGAAGTATTATCAGAATCATAGGAAATATACTTACAAGTTATATTTCCGCTTCATCTATACGCCCCCAATCAATTTACTCCTAGTCATCATGCAGCCAGGCTTCTCAAGGGCCCAATCGAGCTTTCACAGACTACCAGTTTCGAATGTGGGAGTGAATCTATGGAACCACATCATCGTAGTTCCTAGCAGCTCCCTCTGCCACTACCCAGGTGTCGGGCTTTTTTGCTGACAGGTCTTTCTGAATATTGGGGGCAATCATCACGCAACAAATATAGCAGTTCGTTGAGCAATTATTGGCTCGAATTTCTGCATAGGGCTCTTGAATCCCAGGAACATTGAGTGGCCATTATATGCCGACCAATTTAGGTTGGCTGCGGTAACGAGATAATCAGCCGACGCAACTTCATAAGATATTGTCAAGTGTCATATGTCGATAATCAATCAGGTACGAAGTCCCAGATACGATAATTTCCCATTGGCTAATTTATGGAGCATAGCACACGTTCATACAAATTTGATTCAACCATGCGACTGCCCGACCAGAAAGTTAAGATAGCTATGAAAGCCAACCACCACAAGGGAAATTCCCATGACTAGGAACTAGG